CATATTCTGCCCGAGTGGGATGTCATTTCCTTCTTCATCGAATTCTCTGGGCCCTACGTGATATTGTCCATAAAAAAATAAAGGGTTCTACGAAGTTCTGCCAAATAATTTACTATAGGGAAATTACTAATTGCTTCAAGTCAAGTAGCTTAAATCATAATTTTTAATTAAGTGTATGTGATCCTAAGTTTGTTTGAATGTGCTGGTTGAGTCACTGCAGTTGAAGCTGCTATCTGGGAGTGCGCGTCTTACAGTCGGTCTTTGCACGCTCGTCTTTAACAGCCCAATATTTTCCGGTGTAATGCTTGAAAATGGGTAGCAAAAATGGGTACAATCCTACTTTACCCCGATCCTAGAAGACGGTCCCTTGAAGTTTCAATTCTATCGACTGCAAAATGGCGCATGTTTTATCTGCTCCTACCAGATGGGAATATTTCTTACGACTTCGTGGTTAAGATAGTATCTACAGTTCGTCCAATATTTCATACCATTCTTCCCATTCTGTAGCCCTGTTATTCACGTCTTTTAGAGTAATTTTTTCGTTGGTTATATTCACACCTTCCTTTTATTTTTCTTCAAAGAATTTACCGAATATAGCATGCATAATAATGGATGTTAGAGGTACTAGATCCAGATCTGCCTCGCATAATTGATCGCCATATCTCTGCTTTGATCGCCCTACCTCCGCCTCAGGATGAATAAATCGCACATTTTCTTTCAGCGTCACTTAATTTGGCTGGTCAGAGAGGAAACGCCGGAATTATTTTTGAAGTTGGCTGCCTATATGCATTACGTAGGTAATATGAAAATGACTGCTCTTTGCTGAACTGCCAGGAACGGTTATTGTACCTGCAGTAAGGCTTTATGCGCTATGCGACCAAGCTGCATTGCAAAGAAAAATTTGGCTAAGCTTGCCTTGGGATTGTTGAGTTACGTGGACAGAGCTTTGTCCAAAGTGTCACGACATTTAATTTTTGGAAAAAAAACTAATAACCGGAGAAAATCTTTAACTTGTTTTCCAATGTCACCAATAAAGTAAAAGGAAGGCAGGCTAATTAACCTTGTGAAGACAACCCAATGTTGAGTAGGGAAGATCTCTGCATAAATTAGGCTTCGAGACTCAGGTTGATCTCATTTCTCCTGCCGACATTCACTCCTAGTAATTAGACGGTAGAGATTTTTTTCGCTCCCTTAGCTTGCCAACCAGTGGCAACAGACAACTATTGCTAGTAACGAGTCGAATTCGACCGTTGGTCACTTATTCAACGGATGTTGGTGGGGAGTGTGTGATGAATGATGTTGTTCTGGGCGGTCCGATATCATTTTTTATCGTTAGTGAAGAAACACTACTCCTAGACGCTCAGCTTAAGGATAAAGTGATGATATAAATTGGGAAAATACATCCAAATATAATGGGGTGCCGGTAGGTCCATTTGCTTCGCTTTTTTGATAAAGAGTAAGCAGAGGTAGCCTGGTTGTGTGGTGTCTTGCTCCAAACTCTGTTCCTCATCTAGAATTTTTAAACAAATACTTGCGCAATCAATCGGAACCTGTCCTTCTCCTCCTCTGAGAAGTTTAACCTCCATCAATTCTTCAAATTCCGGGGTAATTCTTGCTGTGTTTTCTTCGTCAATGATATGTCCACATGTTTTACTTCGGGGTAAACCGTTTTCATTCAGAAAGCTTTTGCAAGTCAATAAAAAACTGCTGCTCTTTAAGGTCTTCATTTTCAATCAATCACATTCAATTATTATATGCCATGTATGTACCTCTTTCCCCTCTATAATTTTGTGCTAACGTTCCTACTCTTTTCTAATTTGGAACTTCTTTGACCTTATCTTTATTTCCTGACACTTTATTAACACTTCTTTTCTTTCACATCTCCGTGAACTTTGAAATCCATTTGCGTTTTTTGCCAATCCAATCTCGAAGGAACCCGATTGATAACAGCAATTTAGGCTGATCTATTTTTATGAATTTGGGCTTCTACTGGTGCTGTATCTCTTTCCTTGAACAGTAACAGTCAAGATAAGTAAAAGATAATGGGGCGACCGTAAGAGCATTGTTGCCTTTATTGTCCGTTGGGTCTTACAGATAACCAGGCAGAACCCCGTATTTGTTGTTCATACAGGTCACAGAATTGGATATAATCTCATAGAAAACTGCAAGCCAGGGGCTTTACGGTTCCCACACTTGGATGTGGGGTGTGGTTGAGCTAAAAATTGTGAACCTAGTACAATTGGATGTCGTCTTGTAGGAGGATCATCTGACTGAGGTAAAATGGTAGGTCAAGCTCCTCGATTTGACAGTGAAAGATGAAGTCTTCACTGGTCTTATTCGCATCCTTTTCGGGTACTGATTGCATGGCTCGTTGGAGTTGACGACGAATGCATAAAATCGTCAATAGCTTTAGTGGAACAAGGGGCTCGAATATGTCCAGAAGTTTGTAAATCCTTTAGGAGAAAAATAGTTGTAGAAATACAATTAAAAGCGGTAAAGGATATTTATACTCCTTTACATGCCTGCATTGAGGTTCTCTTTTTCACAAGTAAAGAGATCTATTTCTAGATTCATTTTATATCAGTTTCATAGCCCATGAGACGGATTTAGGCACTGAGAGAACCATAAGTCCGTCTCCAGCCTTCGAGAAACTAATTCGTATCAAGAGTCAGATAGCTATCATAAAACCCGATGTAAATTGTAATTTCTATGTGATGTGGGTATTTTTCCTAACTTAAGAGTCTTTCAAACTACCCATTTACAGTTTTCTCAAAAAAGATCAGCATCGAGTACTACCTCCCTTGATATTAAAACTGAACACGCACGCTTCCTCTGCCTTACCCATCTTGTAGGTGGTCCAGTTGTCGTATTTGCGACGCCTCAAGCGGCTTCGGTCTATCAATGGAATACGCGGCATCCACTTCTCGCTGGCAGTCCTCAAGAAAACTCACACTAAGGCGTCCCAAAATGAGAAGTTTAGAAAACAGTTGAAAGCACTTGGATGTTGAAGTTCTGATAGTCTGGGGGCTAGTCCATCCAGAAAGGCAGTCCTTCACGATAGGCCCAATCGTTCGCTGAAGCAACAACTCACGGGTTTTCTTTCGTGTTTCTGCATCTAAAATTGCGGTCTTTGTAGCATAAAATGCTTACGTCTGAAGTCACACGACTACTGGTGTTCATTTAATGGAATCGAAAATTAAAGGTACCGCTTTTTTGTGAGTGTGATAAATAGACCACTGTTTAAATGTCTAATTAAACCGTTACTCGAAGAGAAAAAAAATAATGAGAAAATGGCTTGTGATTTTGCTGCAGGGCAATGTGTGATCATAGAAAATAGAGCCACCTTTACGAAATGCGATTGGCTTTTTCTGGCCCTTCCCTAGTCATTGGGTCGCGTCTATCAAGAAAGCCTGAGAAGGGTTACCTGTTGCATTATCCTCGAGATCAATGAAGTTGACCGAAATCCACAACTTGAAAATACCGGCGACACGGTCGATAGCGGAGGTTTTGATCTGTTCCAACAGATCGGCCACACTAAGGATAACCCGGTTGCAGGGATCTTTCAAATGGATCAAGGTGGAGGTGGAGAATCGCTGCAAAAGCGCTTCAAGGCAGCCACAGCGGCTATGTCCTCTAGCCAGGAGAAGTGAGAGAACTGAGTTAGTGCTCCGATTAATATGGTGTAGATGCTCCACTGGCACATGGCCTATAAGGCAGCGCACCGGACCGCAAAGCCCCTCCGCAGCTAACAATATTAGTGGTGAATTGCCAGATGTTGGATCCTTTTGGGAAGAGATAAACTCCGTCTTAGGCCCCGACTTTAAGACTCGTTATGAAGTAGAGATTGTTATTTTTCTTCCCATCGTTATTAGAAGTTTTATTGGACTGAAGCATAATTTATCACCGATTTATTCAACTGATTTATCGTTCCCATTATAAAAGGGTCTGAACGAGGCTGTTGCGCTTCATAACTAGGTGCGTTAATTGTAGAGAAAGCTTCATTATCCATTGGTCAATTTGACCTCTTCCTTTCTTCGTGGGTCGTTTGAGCGGAGCAGTACCTCTACAAAGTTGATGGATGTAGCACCGGCCAAATGTTTTGTAAGTAGGCTTTTAAAGTTATAATTAGCATTTGATAAATATCCCTATCATCGGTTGTAAAAGTGCTTTTTTGCTTCTCTAACTCATCGTATGCGGGTCCTATAAATTCATTGTCACACTGAGTTAAAGCCCTTCAGAAGAGTCATTTAACTCAAATGCAGTCAAATGTAGCTTGCTTACAAAGGATCCATAACAGTGTACTTAAAATATTTTCTTCTGTCACGACACACAAATGCAAAACCCCACTTTTCCTAGTTAAAGTCTGCACGTCACATACTTATGACACTTTAGATGAAATAAAATTGATTGGATGGATATCATATCAGAAAAATAAAACGACTGGGCTATGGTAGGGTAATTCCCTTTGGAACTCGGACTGAGAAGGCGCTAACCAATATGGACTAAACATCACGATTCGCAGTGATTCTTGAAGCCCTTAATGTTTACTATGCGCGCCCTTTTATACGTGGGGGATCTCATCACCCGACTGACTCATGAACCGTGACATCTGCCAATGAGGATCAAATTATACTGTTTCTAAGTGCACCAACTACCCAGTATCGCTGACTACTGCAGATACTACTTTCCTGTTGCAAATCATAATTTGACTGAGCCTAGAATCGGTACACGCGCAGGTGTGCTCATCCTTCGAATGACTCATTCAGCCTAACCCATGACATTTTGACCTCCTCTCAAGGGGTCCTAGGTCATTGCTTTTGAATCGCCTTACAGCGTTCTACAAGGATTGGTGAAGTACTTGGTTTAAAATTAGTACTCAAAAGTTTCAAATTAAATATCGGTTACTGCTAGCACGTTTTAACACGTGGGCGACCTCAACAGCCAGCCGCCCGTTAACATGGATCTAGATATGCTGTTCCCAAACTTCCTGTTACGATTTTTTAAAGAACATCGCTGATTCCACTGTCTACCGTCAGTTTTAAACCATAAATCGGCCACCCTTGACATCGATGACTATGCAGAAAAATTTCGTCTGACCGCAAAAAAGTCTTCATTCTAAAAGCTGAAATTAAAGCAGTGAATTTCAATGGCAAGCTGATTTGTCTTTGGACTCCATAATAAGGTCTTAGAAGCATGAGAATCTTATCAATCATCTAACTAGTGCTTGTCAAACCACTTCTTTGCGTAAGTGACTAAAGAGATAAAAAGATGATTTACGACGAACGCACCACACAATCTAGTTTGACTCCACAAGAAAGAAGGATTTTGAGTCCCAGGCCAAAGTTGCGTGCTACAAGTCCGCAAACAATCTGTCCAGACAACTGTGCGAAGTCAAATCCACCTTCCTGGAGCTGCAGAACGGTGTTAAGGGAATAGTTTGAGGACTGGATAGCCTGAACCGCTCTTGCGAGTTTCGTCTCCATTTCGCCCACTGTCCATCTCTTTCAGCAGTAGCGAACGTGCCTTGTGAAGAAGTGTTAACCAATTACTTGCTTGCAGTAGGTGGATTGGCTGATGCAGGAACACTGTGTGCAGAAGGAATAAAGGTGACCCTTCGATGTAAGGGAACTGACCAATCACTTTCACACAATTAGCAAAAGGCGCTATTTAGACTTCGGATAACAGAACTGGCTTTATACTGTGCAATCTGTTTAGCTTTTGAACATTTTTGTGCTTACATTTCGAAAATGCATAACAAAATTATGGGCAATGCCCTTTTTGAACGAACTGGATTAATTCCATTCCTGTCCACGATTGGTAGATGATATTGTGGATCGAATAAAGGAAAGGACTTGGAGCATAGAGTCAAGGCCTAATAGATTCCAATTTTATTATTATTATAGGAAGTAGGCTTAATTGTGTCACCGCGTCTTGCGAGTGTAAAGGGTATCTTCTCTTGTTGTTTCAAGCTCCCAAGTTTTCTAAGCGATCTTGTCCGCCTTCGCACGGTTGGTTAACATTTTGATGCTATGGACTTATGTTCACTGCACTTCTGTTGGTAGATTGGTAGCCCTGCTGGATGGTTATGCTAAAGTTCTATCCAGACTCTGATAACGTTTTCAAGGATGACTCAAAGGCTACACTTGTTACTAAAAGAACAAAAGTGGTTAAGCACTAAGTTAGGTCAAATGTGAATCCATAGGGGCGAATTTTTTGTTCTCCCAATGGATGCATTAGCCAACTACGGTTAAACTAAAATGATTTATAAAAACTCAAAAGTTAGGGCCGAGATACATAATGTGAACTAAGAACTTGTACTCATGGGTAATTAGTAGCATTCTTTGGGGCAAGGATAGGTACAATAAAATAGCAGAAAACTGCGTTTCCGCATCGTGTATTTTGTATTGGCGCATGACTTGCTTTTCTTTTACGCTTTGGGGGGCAGTTTTAGCCACAGTGGTGCTTACAGCATTTGCCGTTACTTAGTTCACCATAAAATTACCGGTTTACATTGCTTTATTTTTAATCTGATTGAAACAAAAATAATCATATCTTGGTTAAAGATTTTACAATTGTTGCAATAGATCGGAAAACTCAAAGAGCAAAAGTTTCAGCACCTGCTATTTGAATAGCTGCCCGGATGGACTCATGACATGGGTGTCGGCTAAAGTTAGTCGATGTCCTAGAACCGTTTATGTTCGCGTCCGAAGAGCATTCGCGGACTCAGTCGGTAAATCTACCAGCCTTTCGCACCAGGTACATTTAATAGAACGTGATCCTAAAGTGAGTTACCTTACCAACAATATTTGTCAATATCAGTATTAAACGGTTCAATGAGATACTCTCAAAACTCCTCGTCATCTGAAGAATTTTTCAATTTAATCTGAGAAGAAGCATTGTACTACAGTTTGGTAGTGTAAAGTGAAGTACTGAATTAACTCTTTGAGAATTGAAATCGAGAAGATCACAGTGTTCGCAGCCGATACTTCAAAAGAAATATATTTATCAAAGTACAAAATGATATGCAAATTATTTCATAAAGGTTTCGAATTTCTGTTGCCCCTAACTGGCCTGGCCTTGGAACGTTCTTGATTATGAGTTGGAAGAGGAGGAGCTCAGATCACAATCCATCTCACAATGCACTTAATTCCATCCAAATGTAATGACTGGGTGGGCTGAGCCCTTGTTCAAGCGGTCCATTCAAATACACCAAATCTGTGCTGGTCTTGCGCTCTCTATATTCATGGCATCATTTCAACGCTAAAATGCTTCTGAATCAGTCAACTGACTTAAGTTCTCCCCACGCGGTACTGATTGGACTACCAGTCGGGTTCACAAAATTTCAACGAAAATAGTCAACATTCTTCCCAAATAGTTGAAACTGCAATGAATAGTAAATGCAAAAAAACAGCCACCTATCGCATTCGGCTTAACTATCCAAGTACGGCCGTTTTTGTACCTAGGCGTGCCAACCCCTTAAAGCCGAGGGTGTTTATAAAGGATTGCGTTCGACTTTACCGCAGAAGAATTAAGCTCTTGTACAATTCTGTTATATCCTAGGTTATGCACTGATCAGCCGTTCAGGATCTGGGATCCCAAGTGCCGAATATTCACAGGAATGGCTGCTGTGTACTGGAAGCCGTAAAGACCTGGATTGGCACTGATGCACGTAAGGCCGTCTTTGAGGCGTTTGCACCATCTAAATGTCTCATTGAGACTGAAGGTTCAATCACCGCACTCTACTTGAAGGCCTCCGTAAACAAGAATTGCATGCCTTTTTTCACGATCAACTTCATTCAACACCACATGCTGTTATTAACATGTACCAATACTTCTGCCTGGCGTCCAGACTGGTCTCCACAAGGTGCCCCCCGCTCCTACAAGTAACAGCAGGATGCATCCGCGTTCTTATGCTTGTAAAACTAAGTCTTTTTTCTACCAAAACAATATTCACAATTGGAAAATAGTTAAGAAAAAAATTCTGAAATCTAAAGATATAATAGTAAGGGGAAAGCTGTCATACTTTAAAATTATTCTAAAAATAAATGGTGTCCATTTAAACACCCCAATCAACTTTTCGCTCTTAAAACAATTTGTCGCTTCATAGTTGTATTTCATTCTATGCGTGCTTTTGAGTTTTTGTGGAGACTGAGCCGAAAACTGGTAAAACTGGTCCGATTAGTCTCAAATTTCCAAAGTAGCCCGCCTTTATCTCCTTTTTCAACGCTTATTAACATCCTTTGGCGACCTGTAAATAATAAGTTGTCTTTACTTTCAAAGAGACGTTTTCTTAAGAAGAGAATTCTTGGTCAAAGTTTTGACTGCCTTCTGTAGCCGCCGGAGCGCTCTACACTGCGGATTATACCGTAATTTGAATAAATGCAAGCCGTGGTAGAAGAGTAAATGAAAGCATACAGGGAAGGAAAGCATAAATTTACTAGAAATAAAAGGAAATAATAAGATATGTTAAATCTGCGCAGCTTATTTTCAAGTAAATTCCTATTTCACCCACCTGCTATCCCATCCTCCACGGATAAAGTAATAGCCATAGTTTCATTAACCGTCACATGTTATGCTAAGCTGTGATTAAATAATTAAATTTAATTTTGGTTTCACAAGAAATTAAGGCTCCGCCTTTGTACATCCACTGAGTGGTAGGCCAGAGGAGTCATGCCAGCAGCCCAAAACCCTACTATACGTCGGATATATACATCCTTCCCGAGTATTATGTCCTCACTCGTCTTCGGGGAAGTCTCAGGCCGCTACATTGGTTGTAGCAGATAGTGAAACTTATCCCAAAGGACAACCACCCGGTTATTATCGCTGAATGCTAAACTTAACGTGACTGAAGAAGGGTATTTGTTGCATCTGCCTTCGGCAACTACCCTAGCCTTATGCTCTGCTGGAATGCTATTCACAAATGAAACGAGGGGCACCAGCCGTTATCCATCTTGAAAGTTCATTTTGGAGCAATCTACGGTGCCAAAATGAAGATGTCAATTACGTGAACACGCGTTACCGCCTCCACCTATTTACCAGCTGAATAGAATCCAGATAGATATAACTGGGCAATACTGAAGTAAGAATAAAGCTACGAGGAGGAATAGATGTGACAACTCATCCCTACGAAACTATTTTAAACCCCGTTCTATATTAAATAAGCCTGGTTTTCTATTCGTATTCTTTCGACTGGCGATGAACATACCTGATGACCTACACATTCCACCTCCTCCCATTATGGTTTCTAAGCAGGAAGAAACTCCAGTTCCATTTGCGGTCAAACATCGTCTTAGTTGCATGTAAATTGGATGACTGCTGCGGTTAGCTCGTAAATGTTTCTCTTACATTACTGACTACGTTGCAATAGTCGATGTGGGAGGTCGACCAAGGAGAGCGCAGGGAACAACCCTCAAAATGAGGGGGGTGGATGGGTCCATGCAATACATTTATTCTTGGCAGCATGCTTCGTTTTGGTTGCGCTGGCACTGAAGGCCTACGGGCCATTCCAATGGCCGCCAGTCCTTCTGCACGTAGGTAATGCACATTCTGCCCTAGCATCACATCTTCTTTTGGATTCAGCAGAGAATCGGGTCGCTACAGTCATTCCGTTAACGCCCAATCCAATATCCTCTCGTGAGGTATCTTAACCCAAAGCATCTTGACAACAATGTGCTCCACTGTCTGTTAAATGCCATAAGTATCACCCTTTTTACCCAACTTCAGTATTCAATTGGAAGATTATTTGTAATTTATATGAATGGAAATCATTTCAGGTCAGATTTCTGAATTGTGATGCCCAAAGTGGGTGTGCTTTGAGAAGGCCGGCCTGAATTTATGATTTTAACATTGGGACTATCTAAATGATGTAGAGCAGCTAGCAACTGCAGACATCTCCTCCATCAAACACACTAAATGAATTACCCTGGTTTTATAATACTTTATCCAACAGTCCAAAGTCCATGATAAGCCAAGGTGATTGGGATAATATGCATGGCCTTTAGTGGTCCTCATAGACTCAATCCTCATTGTTCTCCATCTCCTGAATTTGTCCAGTGAACGATGACTCAGCGGCAATTAGAAATGCATTTTAAAACGCAATTACGGCAGTCTGATTGATTAAGCAGATAGGGATTACTTATGAGTTTTACAAAAGACTATTTCCGCCTCTTTAAACGGCGGACATATTAGGCTCAAAATTTGTATTTTTTAACTGTGTATCGTATTTATAGACCTCGATTTGGGTTTTAAGAGAGAAAGATCAGAAATAAGTGCTTCCTCTCCACAGAATTAACAAATAATCTTCACTTAAAAAGGTGTACAGCAAAGTCATCGTCGGGAGTTGCTCATCAATGTTTGCTCCAAATTTTCTGCTATTACTGCTCGAAATTTTTAACAGTCGTTACAAGTCATGCTCGAATGGGAAAAGAACAACTATTGAGACAGAAGAAGGCGTCAAAGATGTGGATATACCAATAGGTGACAGTAAAAATAGTAGAGAATAGAGCCCACGAAGTCCATCAAAACACTGCAATTTTCGCCGCGCCATAAAAGAGGTAGGAGTTGAAAAATTGGCATGTATATATAGAAAAAAGTATGACAGAAAGGGAATGAATCAGACTTCTTTTGCGCCTACTTTGAGAGGGAGCTGAAAGTTCATTATCGCCTCCTGGTTAATCCAAGAAATTTAGTAAGCTGATTGTTAACACACACATGACAGTGACATACAGGTAGAGCCGTATGATAAATTTGGTACATCATCGGACATAGGAACCTCTCTCCCCAACGAAGCTCAACAGTTGAATTTTGTATTTTTCCATCAGTCAAAATACCAGTTAATTCATTTGCAGAGAAATGGCTTTAATCAAGTAAAAGTTTGACGAAGGCAACAAAAATTTTGCAACTTAGAAAAAAATAATGTTGACCATAAAGTACTACACCTACCCCACTAAACAATTCGCCAAATTTGGTCAAGTTTTGAATGAACGCACTATAGTAAAATGCACACAAAATCACTTTTGATTAGGTAACATATAAATCCTTTAGTGTGATTTAGGTTTACTGAGTCTTTGTTTGTTTTGTCATTTTCCTCCGGGCTCATCAAAATCGTGTGCGTCGCATTGTTCTTTTCTCGTCGATGTGTGCGTTGCCTTACTCTACCGTTACCATGTCATGCTGTGTTATTGTGGTGTAATACGACTTAGACTATCTCAGTCTTTACGCATATTTAATCTTAGTTTTTGCCGTGAGCGTAGCAGGCTGCGTTCGCATTAAGGAAGTGTAAAGTGCTTTGCTAGACCATTTTACTCTGGTCTTTTCTTGCTGCATCTGCTCCCATATTTTGTTAATCTTTTCAGAGTATATTTAACTACAGATAGCTGTATGGCGACTGGTATACGAAGCTTTTTTCTGTAGAATTTTGACGACCATTTTTCTGGGAAAAATTTGTTGCAATTCTTTGGGCAGTAGATGTGCTAAGTTCTTTACCAAAGGTGGAAGTCATAATTTGACACAAGCTCTGCAGCACTAAGGTGTATATTGCCAAATCCTCATGCAGATGTAGGTCATTTTGGCACCCTTCAAAACGCATTGGTCGCTTTCTTTTTAGAAATGGATAGCGGTCTCTCAAGTAACTCAAAATCAAATTCCACCGGAAATATTACTCTTGAATCTCTGTTGGATGCTCAGGTACCCAAGGAGACTTCTCAAGGCGATGGTAGCAAACGAAAACCCTCTGACTCTGAATGTTACGTGCTTCATCCTATCCCACCAACCAAACGGTCGCGTGGGCAAATTTCTCGACCAAAAGAGGCCTGTTTGGAATTAATAGCCATTCTTCTTCAGCAGGACGTCAATGGGTTCTTCCATTTTGCTTCTAAAGAGGTGCTGTTTTCATATGCATGTTCTAGCACACTATACTACGCTGCACTTCGCAATTTGCTAATCGCGGTTACTTCTGGAATAGCTTTCGCCAAAAACTTTAGTAATGCTAGTTTGCGGCTATTTTCGTGTAATTAATTCTGGGGTTTTCTGCTCCATTGACAATTTAGGAAGTTTTTGGTTCAAGTAGTGAAGTTTCTACTATCCGTCACTGTTCTTTTTATGATAAAAATCCGAAAATTTACTGATATCCTAGTTCTTAATGTTGGTGTTCTGTTAACTATATCCCATTTTTTGTTACTTTAGGTGAAGAAAGGTGACAGTCTCACAAAACTGAGCCTGCGTGCGTTGGAGCGCTTCGTTCACACCAACAAGGTAAAAAACGTGAAACACTTGCGTGACTACGTGGAGGAACTTTTTGGGTCTTACCAACATGCTAATACCCTCTCCTCGACGTCTACACCATTGGAAGGTAGTGCAGCGGTCGTGGCTGAAGCCGCGCGCCTTGCCGCTCTCGCCAGGCGCTGGTTCGAGAGCATTGGAGAGGACTCGAAGCTAATGTATGAACCCCTGTACGGCTCCGGGGCTTCCAACGATGCTAGCGAGGTGACAGCACTCGGTCTTCTCAATCCTGATAATCGAGGTCTTGTCAGTGCCACTGAACGTGTTCGTACCATCGGAGAAGAGGTTAGGCTCCCTTATTTCACTGAACTTTTTCAGTCACGTAGACTCTAGCGAAATCAATGTATCATCGTTCATTTTAAATGCGCATGAGACCTGTATTTTCTTACAAACAACCTAGCTGAGTGCGCTGAAATAGAATCTGGAATAATTGATTTGCTGTATTTCAGGTGGGTCAGTTGTCTTTCGGCACCCATCTTTCACAAAACGGTGGCTATCGCGAGGACCGTCGAAATCGAGTGATTCCCTATACGTACCTCAACTACGGCCCGTACGCAAGTTTTGGGCCAACTTTCGATAGCGGCGCCTCAAATTGCAGTCCAGAAGCAAACCAACTCCTTCTTTCCACCTCCTGGCTTCCCGCACGCATGCTTTACTCCTTGGAGGTGCGGGAGGACGCAGATACGTTGGATGATGAAGAGGAGGATTGTCCTTGGAGCCGTCTACGGTGTGTTACCGAGGCGGAGGACGACATGGAATTGCAGGCGTCACTGGCGGACTGCGCGGCGGAGTGGAAGGAGGCGCGTGAGGCCAGTCGAACTTTGGAGGCCATCATTCCACCCGTCATTTGCGGGGACCATCCCGATGGTGACTTTAAACTTTATCTGGCCAACGCCATCACTCGCAATCTCCCTGGGGTGTGTGAGCTAACAGAGGCTGAACCCTCTTCTACCCTTGAGACTCCTAAAACTGCGTCTGGTAAGCTCTGCCTGATGGGGGTCACCGAGTTGCTTTCCCCATTATTTAGCTTACGATCCAAATCGGTTATTAATCAAATCCTATGTTGTTTCCTGGTATGATTGCCGTTGCTCTTTAGGTAAAATCATTCAATAATGTACTTTCTTAATGCCTACGTTTATTACGATCTCAGGATTTATCGATGAGAAACGACTACACTCTCTTTGATTCCAACCAAATGAATTTTTTCTGCTATTTAAAGTTGTCTGCGGGAAAGTCCGGCCTGAGTACTGCAGTTCTTCAAAAATTCTGTACGACACTTTCCTACTTTGATACGTACACGTGGAAATTCGTTGTGAAAACTAGTTGCAGACCAGTTAAACATGTGTCTGATATTGGAAACAGGCAATAGACCAAGAACTACTTTTAAATGGCCGGAAAATCCGGAACAGCTCAGCTGACTGTGAATGTGGTAATTTTGTCAGCATGAAATTCCAAATACTTTCCGCATAGAGGTCATGATGGTCCTGTTTGGTTTGCAGAACAAGCGCCACCGACAGCAGCACCAGTAGACGCGAGTAAGGAGGCTGATGAGGCGAGGAAGAACGAGAAGAAGGATGGAGAAGAGAGAGGGAACGAGGAGTTACTGGAGGAGTCCTCACGCCTACTGTGCGACCTCTACAACGCACAGCACCGCCGGCTAGGTGACTTTTCGTCTGCTTCGCTTGCGGAAGAGCGCAGTTTGCGGGCATGCGGACGCGAGGTGCGCACGGCCAGGCGGCTGGTCGGCAAGCTGGTATGCCTGGTTAGCCGCCTCACTCGCGGGCCAGGGGACATTCTTACCTCACGAGAGCCTGTCCGGCGTGCCTTAGGTCTAGACCCCGCGACTCCTATCCTGCTTCCCAATGAGACCGTCGATCTTTTCTCATAATGAGGCTCTCTTCTTCCGCAGACGCCCTTATCTATCCTTTTCTGTTTGCATGTACACTTATCTTTCTTCCAGAATGTGTGTAAAGTTGGTACCTAAAAAGCTGTTAGGGTGTGGAAGAATGCCGGCCTTTTCTGTGTTGGGGCTGGTCGGTGGTGAAGACGTGCAGAAGGGAAGGGTCTTAGTCAGGATACAGTGTATCTAGAAAAGGAGGGGCTAAGACAAAAGTAGGAATATAAGGAAGGAGGATATTGTGGAGGTATACATTAAGTAGAGGTCAAGAGGTTTACCACTTTAAAATACCTTTAAGAAGACGTTGATTTGAGCAAAATATTTTACGAAGGAGAGCAAATATTCGAAGCAAGTAAAGAAGAAGCATTGGTAACCATTAAAGTTAATATTTGGACATAATTTGTTTTAACCAACGGCAGCACCCCCAGACTCCATGCTGTTTCTCTGCTCGGTGACTAAGTGAGTTTCGCCCACCGTTTGTTACTTCATTGTTTTGTATTGGGAATTGTGGGGTTGACTGTATTTTCTGCGTAGAGAAAACAATCTTTCGATGTTACATGCGAGGCAGTGCGCATCTTATGGGACCCAGATGTTACAGGAATGGTTTCCAAAATAAGAAGAGTGGAAAGTTCACGCAGTTGCGACATTGAAGTGTAGTAGGGGCCTAATATAAACAAATGGGGTCACCTGATTATACGTGAGGCTGGGAAATCATCAATAAATGGACAATGCAGGACTTGTGAATTTAGAAGACGGAAGTAAAGTCGGGAGTATTTCGCTAGGCTGGTGTCACCGCGACGCAGAAACGCCAACATGCACCGTGCCTGCAAGTTTGTCAAAAAATATAAGATTTTTTCCCATAACTCTGTCTGATTCTTATACTAAAGAGCTTTAGTGTTTTCCTAGGAATAGATGCGACATATTTTCTTCAGAATTGTATCACATGTCAGGTATGTATAGTAAAAGAATCAACAAGTTAGATACAGGTAAGATTTACAAGATGTATGAGCTACACAAAATGTAGTCAGCTAATTTGCACCCGCTTGAGTTTTTGTTTACGCGCAACATTTTAATGTGTTCTTTTATGTTCGTCGTTCCGTATGCGAATAAAATGCCCTAACAACCCAAATATCTCCAACAGCAAAAAAGACAAGTTGCCAAAATTACGACGAAAAACGTATAAGAAACCAGATGCAGGACAACGTAGAAAGGCACAAAAAATAAAACTTAAACACGAGAAGAAATACGGGTCGGGAGTAACAGATCAAAACCAAACACGTATTACAACGAAATTAAAGAGTGGAAACAACAAAAAGGAAGAAATCCAATAACAAGGAAACGGAAACCAAAGACGAACAGAAAACGTAACACAAAGAAAAGCCACAAAAGGTAATAACTCCTGAAAAACAACAAAAAGAACACAACGGTAGCATTGAAAACGAAACTAAAACAATAAAAAATTTCGTATTCCGACACAGAAGACGACATCAAAGACTTGCAAAAGCGACGAGGTGCGTGTAATTATTGAAAAGAGGGGGATGCTCTGCTCTGGTCCACGGTGACCAGGTTAGTTGTTCGCGCCCGCCAGTGGGTGAGGCTGCCTCTTTTCTTTCCACCTTCATGTTGCGTGTGTGTGTGTGTGTGTGTGTTGTTTTCTGGTGAATTGGTAGGTAGGCATTGTTGGCGAGTTCCATGTACAAGCAGTGGGAGCAGGAGGAGGAGGAGGCAAAGGCATGGTGTCTGCGAGGGCCATGGCGCGGAGTGTGGTAATACCTTTGCTTAATCGTTGTAATCTCTTTTTTTTATTTGGTTGTTTTTTTTTTGCTCTTTTGTTTTTTCCCCCCTTTTCTGCTATTTTTTTCTTTTTTAATTTTTTGTCGCTTTTTGCTTTTTTTACCCTCTCGTTCTTCTCTTTCTTTCGTTTTACTTTTCTTACGTTTATTTTTGTAACCTTTAATCCCCTTTTTTCTTTGGTAAATATCTTTTCTTCCCTTTTGTCTTTTTCCTCTTTGGTCTCCTTGATGTTTCACCTGGCTTCTTATTCCTTATGCGGAGAATGCTTTAGCTAATGTTACCTCTCTTTAAATTCTTTTCTCCTACACCCGTGTCGCCATTTTCTTTTCTTAAGTTAGATTTGATCTGGACAGCATTGTCTATCGTCTATCCCCCTGTCACTATTTTGGCATATGAACACTCATTGGATTGCCTTGTTTCCACCTGTGACAATACGCCCGTACGTTGGATGTGGACTCACTTCCTTTTCCTTTTCTTTGACAAATCGTTTATATTAGTTTTTTTTTCTTTTAATTTATTTTGTTTCATCTTCTCTGAGATTCGTCCCTAATAAATTATTTTTTTCATTTTCTTTGACACTTGTTGTCTCTAGCTTCTTTCTATCTTTTCCCTTCCTAAATGGTCTTTTAAAATTGGCTTAACTTTTATGACTTTGATTTGAACATATCTGCATTTCCGTATCTCCTCTTTGGCAGTCCGTATCTTTGATTTTAATCCCTTTTTAGTTATACTGCTGCGGAGCGTCCCTTGTCCTACCTGGAGTCGTTAGAAAACAAAGTACTACCAAGGCACGGAAGGGATAAGGAGCCCTTAACTTTTTTGTAAAAGTTCAATCTATGAAGACTTAAGTGACCCCCTAATCAAATGCTGAGTTGCCCAGTCTATTATAGCACTAAAATTATGTGAACAAAACTTGTTGCTTTCGGTGTTAACTTATATCACTGGCCTTATATCGGAAATCCCTTTCCCTTTTCCAACGAAAATGGATCCTCTGACAGGCTTTTATCCCCATATATTTTTCGATAACTTTTTCTTAAATCGTCGTTGTGATTTTCTGTTACAGAATTATGCTATCTAACTCTCGACAATGTCAATTTTGTATCTCTCTGTTAACAATTCGGCATGTGACCACTGACAGCAATGCCTTGTTTCCCTCTTCGAATCTTCAATCCGGCCTATTTGCTAGAAATGGGCTTGCAGACGTGGAGGTGGAAATTATAATTTGCAACCCAGAGCACTTGGTAGTGATGACTGATTACTAAATTAACCGCCTTAGATGGACGGATTGACTAAACACGTTTCGCGCGGTTTTCGGGGCCTCAGCGTCATAAGACCACGGCAATCAGTCGACCACACGCCCTGGGTGTTACCGCTGCTGATGGTGGGTGGCGTCGATGTGGCGCACTAAGCGTCACGCGCTGTGCGGTGCGGGTGATCTTTTCATATGTGGGTCAGGTTTTGGTTGCCAAAAGTGCATCTCATCAATGGATTCCGTGGCGGCTTGGTTCTCAACTTAAGCTAAACAGAGACTGCCAAAATGGTGACTTGTTCTACTTTTTAGTGCTAAAGTGTGTTCACAATTATTTTTTAATGCAAACAAGGAAGCAAATGGAAAGGTCGAAGTCGAGGTCCGCCCTACGCTCACGTCTGAACAGATGGCGGTTACTCACTTCTAAATAAGAAAGGGGAACCGCAGTCTACAGCTAGCATTTTTTCACATTTTGGATGGGTTGGATTCTGCTTTTACCATTTACAATTTCGCAGCGGGCAGTGGTGCACTAGTTACTTTTGTCCCAACGGCACCGGTAATGGGTAAGTTTCCCTGATAATCTGCTCAAACGATCAGGTCCCGTCTATCTACTTTAGTTTATTTTACATAAATTCGCACCCTGACCGTCCCAGTTGCTGGTGGGTCAAATACGCTACGAACTGGGAATTTGGAAACGGCGCACACACAAATGGCATTTATGTCAAGTGATGAGCATAGCAATACATCACGGCCAGCGGAAGCGTCAACCCTTGTCTATCTATTAATATCGTACTAAGTTTTAAGCACATTACGACATTCAAGTCAGCGCATATTAAAAGGCGCCTTCATTCCCGCCCATCTCGATGGCTGCTAAGATGAGTATGCTGACGCACAATCTTTGCCATGTAGGGTTAACGTAAAATTTATGGCAGATTGAAAACCAACACAAAGGGATGCGTATCTTAAGCGTGACATCATCGGCTAGGAAAGGCGTAAGGGAAGAGTGACCAGGATGAATTATCACTAAGGCCTTGGTTATCGCCACTATTACAGAAGAATTATTTGACCGTGAGATTTAAATAGCATTTATCTTCTGGCCAATAGGGCCATCACTCGTCTTGCGTGGACCATTGGGATTACTACATACTTCAGTTATTATCATTTATTAAAGCATTACTCGAGTAAAAATTACAAAACACAGGGTCTTCTACGAATCATAATTGCAATCGTGCACCAAGTTTCGTTCGTGAATTCATTAAAAACTATTCACAAATGAGCCAAAAATGTAATTCTATGCAGGATGGCTTTAAGAGAACGTACTAGACTGTGAATATGTTTATCAACACAACAATGGAGTTTTCATAATCTTCACTTATCAGCTAAAGTGCACTCAGGCAGCAGCAGAGTAAGGAATCAAAGAAAATAGGTAGAGGTTTACTGTAACTTAAGCTAGGTGCCGACTATTTATTGGTTTTTGATATATAAATGAGACATGCCTGGGAATCAGATCTGACCCAACCTGACCATTATTTACCAAATATTATTCTGGTTTACGGGCGCTAAGTCATTACAAGCAGATTATGGCCACAAGCAAAACCCATCTAACAAAAAAAATAAAATTTAAAACCTTGCCCTAGTCGTATCTTTATTTTGTTGTTCTTATTAACAAGAAGGATTTGTTTGGAATAACCGATTTATTCAAGGTTGTGCGACTTTTCAAACTAGCAAAAAAGTAATTGGGTTATCGTAATGTGAAAAGGTGAACTTTGGTAAATGAAACGTGAATCAAAATGTGTCTCCAAGCTCTCTGTTTGACAGCACTATTTCTTGTTAGTAAGTTTTTACTTTTGGCGCATAGGGCTGATTTTGTCCGTATTTTTAGGGATGTGTATTTTTTCGTTGTGTATTTTTTACATCTTTAAGGTGTCTTTAGGACTTTACGGAGAAAGTTTAAACTCGTATTTTACACGCGCGTACTTTTTGCCTGAATTTTGTCGTTTTAATTTAATTGGGCAGATTTGCACATATTTTTGATAATCTTTTTTGGAGCACTTGCCACTGCAATAAACGTAGATCAAGTCTTTTAATTTGATCTTTTTTGCGACAATCTTATCTCTTCTAATATTTGCTTTAATTTGCGCCGAGACGTTAAGTGTTAAATGTGAATGGCTATAAGCAGCATCAAATTAAATCGTTTTAATATATGTACTAGTAAACCTCATTAACAAAACAGCTCTTTTGAATTCCAAATTTGTTATCATAAGTAAGACTCTAAGCACGAATTTCTTCCTTTCTTACAGGCTTTTAAATTCAGGATTAGGGCACTTACCCTTTACTTTATTTTAGAATTTTGTCACATAATCGCCCACCCCGTATATGTATCTACTGGCGAAAAGGCGGTTTTGGATTTTATTTTTTCTCATTCTTCAAAGACTTCGGCAGCTGTTGTACAGTGGACATTTTTGCCATTTCTCTCTTCCATACCGAAAGGTGAAAATGTAGAAAACGGCTTTCACCTGAATACCAGCTATCATTCATCCAGAGTAAGTGTAAATACGAATATTTTATTTTACGCATTCATGCTGTTTTACCTGACTGTTGCATTAGCATGTAAATAAGAGCGCATAAGACTTTTCCAATTCTCGGCAATTATTCTGTATTTTGACTGTTGCACCAACTCTTACTCATCACCCTAACCATTGTAACCGAGGATGAAGGGGAGGGAGAGTCTTCAGAACACAGAAAACTGCTTACTGTCTATTTTGTGCATGCACAGTATAAGAATGACATATCCCAAGTGATCTGCCCAGAGAGCTTTATCGGCCCACCTGGACGCACCTGTCGGCTAGCTCGTCTCAGTATCAGCCAAGTTATTCCTGCGGACGAGGGAATCTACCGCGCTCGCATTGTTGGCACCAACACTACGACTGCTGACTGCTATCCCTGCACTGGCGAGCTAAAACTCCGTGTCCTTGTTGATGAAAACGATGTTGGGTAAGCGAATATACCCGGCCCAAGCATGTCAAATGCCCGTTTTGAGAATCTGGGTGGTGCTTATAACTTAGTTGCAGACGATTTTTAAGGAAGGACAATTAAATTAGCACTTATGCAGCAAAAAATATGCAAACTTTACGTTAAACTAGCGCAGTATCAGCACTTACAATAGACCTCTACTAAGCAGCCCTGTTTTCCTCTACTATCATATTGCTAGTATGTGTCTGTAGTAGCTTGTCGTTCCGTCTGCACAAAAGACGCCATGTTGTACAGATGACCTAATGATAATTGAAATTTCTTTTTTTTCATTGTTATGATTTTTTGAACTCAAGTTAATGTAAAATACCTGAATTGATCAGACACAATGAGGTCAGGAAAGTAGGTTGACCTTCCTTTCCAGAATCGCTCGCCTTACGATATTGTGCTGTATTACACCAGAAAATTGCAAGAAATTGTATTACTTCCCCCTCTGAAATAAATTATTTTAAATTTAGCGTTTCCGTATGACCTTATCAGGGTCTTAATAAGGGCCTCCTAATATAAGTTTACTACTTCTTTTATAATACGTGACTCATAATAATCACAATCTTATGTTAGTCTCTTTGCAGAGTGCCACATTTTATTGTCAAATACGTAGAGTTTTATTTTGCATCTGTATGCCTAATACGAGCTTGACACGGTGTCCATATTTACATTCCAGACTCTGCACATGTGCGCGGCATCTAGTGTTCCTCATTTTTAATTAAATAATCCAAATTTGTGGTAATGAGAAGGCTGAAGATGGCTTTTCAGTTTATTTAATGTAAAGCTGTTTTTCTCCAAGTCCTTTCTTGAATCACCAAACTCAGAGTTGGCTGCAATGTCACTAAAATAATTTAACACCACTTTGTGTCAGAAAAAGTAGTACATTTTTGCTTAAATAAAACCATAAACCAATTTATTTGATTTCACATTTTTCCATAAAAAACAGAAAATGCTGCTGTTTTTTTGATACAAAAGTATATTTTAGGAATTTCCTCAATCATCCCAATATGACTACGGTGGAGCTGTAGTCTGAGAGTTGGGTTTGCGTTTTGGACGTATCCTATGTACATGCAATTTGGAGTGTTGTAGGGGTAGGCGAACCAACACGGTGGCATGGATAGGGTCAAACTAGCCTTAACCACACAAGAAGATCTTGACCCCTTTGTTCACTCCTCCTCACGAATTACGCTTATTGGTGTTAGGCTTTACCGAATTCGGTAGTAGTAATGACGGTGGTAGTAGAGAGTTTTGCTATTGCGATCATGCATATTGTCGTTGTTCAAATTTGAGTCCTGTGGCGGTATCGCCTATCACCCGTTTGAGTGTCCACACGCAAACATGCGCATGTACAGCCCCGATTGCAGACAGGATGGTTTGCAGGCATCAAAGTGGTGGACCCCAGAGGACTAGACTGGGGGTGCTTGTGTCTGCCCCTTGTAGTTCTCTCCTTCCAATGTCTGTGTTCGCCGTTAGTGTCATCCGCTTCAAAATCGGCAAAGGGACATATGTGTTTGAAGTCACATAAATTGCAGTGAGTGTAACTTGCCTAGCGACTGAATTGCATTAAATGTTTGGGAAAACATAACTTTATGACAATGCGTTGGAAGTAGATGAGAATATTTATTAGCTCTCATTTGAAATTCAAAAATGGAAAAATTGCCGAAATTGAACCCGCTACTAAATAACAAGTTTGAATCACTATTAAAGTTATAGTAAGTCATTCTAAAAACCGCCTTGCTTCTAGACATAGAGTGAGTTCCTCCATCATTAACATATGATTATTTCTTTTCTTACCAGAGAAAATTTCATGTTCGGCCCCGAAACCATTCCACTTTCTGACCATTGCGTCCAATAATGTGCCGCCTGCTTATCATTCAGTCAATTGACAAATTTAAATAAATTCCGGAAATTAAGTCATGCCTCTACATTCACTTTAAATAGACCAAATTCGGTAGCGGAAGCTTGTAAATTAGTTTTGGAGTTCCGACTACTATCAAAGTTGACTAAGCTTCAGTACTAATTAATAGAATAAGATTATTCCAACGCCTCGTATGGGTGTGATGGACTAAAAAAGGCCCTGATCTGCGAAATTTTGAGAATCAGAATAATAACTGTCTGAATATGTGCTGTTCAACATCACATGTTATGATTTGCCACCGTTAAGTAAAACGGGGTGGGAGTCCACCGGCTTTATTATTTTTACCCTTAGCTGGCAGTCAACCTAAAGAATAAATCGCCTTATGCCCTTGACTTATCCGTGAATCCTCACCCTCAAAGTTATGTTTAAGCTTAGCTGTTTTTGTGCTTTTGTTCTAATAATTCCCTTAATTACCGTTTTAACTTACCAAATTCGTGAAGCACCGCAAAATCAGCATTAGTCAAATTGGAAGAATTGGAATGAAAGTTTAAGCATGGTAGCATTTCCATATTGCAAATCTAGTAGAATCAGTGAGAAAACCTTGGTGTGGTCTTTCCTCAAGCACTACGTATTACAAAACGGTGTAGTCCATTTTGAGACCCAAACGGACCGAAAAACTGCAATACCCAGCACTAATGTTGACTTGGCTTTGCAAAGTAGACAAATTTCTTGTAGCACTCTTACGTAAAAAGCTTTTTATTCTTTGGGTATTTAGGCAGTCTCTAAAGATTTTCTGCAATTGAGATTGATGTAAAACGTACAATGTCGGTGTATTTGAACTAAGAGTTTGTCAGTAAATACAATTATTACATTTTTTTGTTCTGTAGGCAACCGATGAGCGGTGACCATTCGGATGGCCTGATGTCATCAGAAGATTTCATGGGCTCAAACGGTAATTTTTCCATTATCGTTTTGCGATTGTACTGCAAGAATAGCTACCATGATACACTACCCACGCAAAATTCGCTTGCCTCCTGATTCCTTTTTAACATTAATTAGGCCTGAGGAAGCAGAGTTTATTTAACTGCTCATCACGAGTTTTATCAGTTAAATCACAAACGTATCTCAATAAATTCTCGTTTTAAACTAAAGATTCTGTTTATTTACTTCCAGATAGCAGTAATTCAGTACGCACTGGCACTTACATACTTGGAAGGCTTTAACATCTCCCTCAACGCACTTTCCTATATGGCCCCTAAACTTTGGTGACTTAAATATCCGCTACATTAAAGTAAAGCCAAGCGACTCGTTTTCAAGGCTTAACTATCACTCACTTCGATAGTTCAAAAGTATGTAACTGTTGAATAAGGCTTTTATCAAAAATCATGCAATGTATATACTTGTTAAACTTCAACAATTTACAACAGTATGAGTTTTCAAGCGAAAATTTGATGAAAACTTCGACTGAATATAGCAATGCATAAATATTGTTCTATTGGTAATGTTTTCTTGGGATAGAAGGTTTCTCCGCTTTCTCCTGATTTACATTCTATAGACAAAAAGATTATGTAGTTAGCATTTGACATTAGTACGATTCAGGCTGTTTTAAACTAAAGTGCTGTAGTTCTGCTTAAGCTACTATAGGCTACCTTTATATTCCTCAGTAGAATACCAGAATATTTATTCTGTGATGGGTCAAATCATGCTTTGTATAGCTATATCAGGAATCTTGTGGTTACTGAATAGTTGACTGAAGCATAATAAGAGAGTTGCCAACCCGCATTTAATGCTCACTAGTTACGAGGTCCCCAATTTTCCGGTACCTCTAAAAAGCTATTAGGACAGGCTCGAATTTCATTGCGAGCGAATAATGGTGATTTTAGCTTTGCCACCTCGAATGTCACACGGTGGAATGACTTCCTAGGCAAATAAAAGTCGTAAAACCTCCATAAAAGTTGTGGCCTGTAAGTTGGCGCCATCACCGTGTTAGTTCCTAATTCCCTCTTACAAATAAACGCCCATTTAGTCTAAGCAATTTGGACTGGATATGTATATCTCAAATTTTTTCTGACTATTCACATTTTTAAATATGCTATGTGAGTACTGCAATTTTAAAAGTGGAAGGTTCCTGCAACATTTTGAAAGGTGGGAGTATCTTTGAAAGTTCCCTGTGATTTCGAATAAGGAAGTACGCTGGTTTCTTCTAATGAAAATCATTAATCTCGATTCTTGTTTGGTGTCATTTGCTGCATAAAAGTTATCAGGGGTGCACTGCATCTCCCGTTCGGGGTTGTAAGTTAAATAACTTCATGATGAGTATTCTTAGGAAACCACCTTGATACATTTTATGTTTGGACTATTATAAGGAATGTAGGGTTAAGTATAGTTGCTGTAATAAGCACTTCCATCCGGATCAAGTGCTTCCTTCTGGCATGTGATTAATAATGTGTTTCCTTCTTTTTCCCTGTACGTGGGTGCACACATAGACCCGCGTAACATCATTTATCAGCACATCGGTAGATAATCTGCAGCCAACAGTTGGCCAGGTAGTATGAAAAAAAAACTTACATTGAAAACGCGCCAAAGTGTGGTCAAGGTTATTCTCCCAGTTTTTTCCTTAGCCTTAACCACAACCGCAAAGAGAAGTCGGTGAATAGTAGTGGAATGTATCACTATAGCGGAATTTCGTCGATTAACTAACCAATCTCTCTAGAGGAAATGGATGCTAAACATCATTTTACATATACTGAATTACTGAATACAACGCTGTCCACCGTTTCAACAGTTCCTTTTAGCACCAAAATTAATAGTGGCCGTTTGCTTAGTTCCATCAATTTGGCCGAAAACCCCACAACTGAATTCTGAAGCATTGTGGGTCGAAATGCAGTTTTGAGTGGGTTCTGAGTGCGCACTTTTGGTCTCGGAAGAAAGGCAAACTCCACTGGAGTAGGTGGGTGTAAAGCGCACTAACCGATTTTTGGACATCCGTCCCTGAATGGTGTGTGAGCAGGCTCTGGGCCGCCCTCTAACTACACAACCGCACACACACACACACACACACCCTCGTGTAACGTAAGAAGGACACCGTGCTGCGTTGCTACCTCCTTGTAAACTGGGATTTATGTATTCATACTTGACTCAGATGCAGTTGTAAGTCCACACACAAAATATTGATGGCACTTTTGACAGTGTCGATGTTGCTTTTTGTATCCCATTGCAAGTTCTAGGTGCAGATTAATAAACCGTGCTGGAAATAGTTGGAGTGTTTTAACAGAGGTTAAAGTTGAATGTCCTGTAGGGAGAGTTTAGATAAAGTAGCAGTAAAAAAAGTATTGCGTAGTCTTCAAAAAGTTACGATAAAGCTGTAAGAGCTGATTGTTATCACCACCTCCCGGATGTTCGAGTCGAGGAGGAGTACAGTTTTTTAACACAATTAAGAATGAGATTTCGCATTAGCATAGCGTACTTCAAAAATGGATGAAACTTATCTTGGGTCTTGCCAACAGAACTACTTCATGTCAACAATATGGAGATCAGAAATTGAATTCATATTATGCTTGAGAGCTCGTGGACGGGTGGAAGTGTACTGAAGCAATTTTATAATCCTTCCAACAGTCGCTGTTTTTAATTTTTTTGTATTATCGGTAGCTTTTATTTGGAGCCGTGTGAATATCCGACATTATCACATAGAAAAACAATGGAAAATTAAGAAAAATATTCCAGTGCAATGAATCATGCATTCGCTGGGCTAGTAAGAGGAGGCCGTTCAAAAGTGTGCTGTAGCTGAACATTCCAGATGTTGGCGCTGCTGTGGGCAGACGAATCCCTTGGCTTGAAGTTCCAGGCGGAACGCATAGCCAACTAGTTTTCTAATTCCGAAGGCTTGTGTTTTTTCAAGCGACGGTCAAATCACATATGCGTGTGTTTGGTTAGTACAACTACAGTGCACATAATCATGTTTTTTTGGTTCGGTGCGAACAGTTGCGTATACAGCTAAGCTCATAAAGCAATCTTTTTATTGCTAAATTTTTTTGACAAAATATTTTCTACATCTCGCATGAATTTACTATGAACCTCGGAGTTAGGGGTAGACTTCTTTCCAGGTCTGAATAATGCATATTGTGATATCCGTACCAAATTCTTTATCATTTAGAACTTGCATTCAACGTCTTCGCCAAAAGGAATATTGTTCGACCTCTGTTATACAGTTTTTATAATTCCGCCACTTTTACCCTTTTAAAGTTTCAATCCTATATTTGACATGCTAAATGTGTCTCGAGGGTCTGTAGTGGAAAACTGGGAGATCATCAGCTATTTCTCGGAGTGATTTCCATGCCTTAAAAGCGGTTTACCCCTTATTTATTCGTAAAGCAAAATTCCCAAGGATTGCATTTCAAATTTCCACCAAGTATCTTATAGAAAAATATTGGAATGGTAGTGTTTAAAATAGAAACAGTTCCATGTTCTGTAGTCTGCACGTGACCAAGACAAACTTGAGACTATGCAACATTCCACTTTTACCAAAATGAAGCTCCTATAATTTTGGAACAGCTAGTGTTTTTAGTGTGCCAACAATACCCGTAAATCAGATGCAGCGTTCGGAGTTTAAGTCACTTTGCCTTGGTTGTCCAAAAGGATATTATAAATTGGTTGTAGCTGCACACTGACCTGGTGGACATTTACCCCGACACGGGATGGGGGCATGACCTACACAATCTAAACAATGCTTAAAAAATTGATGCCGCAACTATCCAACCTGCAAAATTCTTGCTTCAAAATAAGTAAGCTCTTGGTAGCCACATTAGCGTAGTCCTATCCAAATGGAACTAAAGGCAGCTATCAGGTTCTATCCAAATTAATCTTATGCCGGGTAATTGTAGGGTCATTCAAGTAGCGTCGTCACCGTTTCTACTTTCACTCATTTAAGAGTAAATACTTCCAAGCATTTAAAGTTGTACTACCCGTCGGATTGCAGTTGTCATGTGGAAATAAAGCAATTCATAGGAAATGTTGTGTATTCATCTAATTTAGCCGAATCTATTAAAGGACCGCAGTAATATTATATTGCACCGCAAATGTAATCTTCGCTTCCGGTCTGCGTGGAACCTTTTATTTTCTACTAAATGCTGAAGCCTTAAATCAATAGACCTTCTACGTTTGTCGTCTTGGAATTTACGGTTATTCCAAGAAAGCTAAACTGTTTTGTTCCACGAAAAGGTCAACACTCACTTTAGGCTTTAGATTAGGGGGAGAGAAGGGAGTGGGGGACGTGAATTCAATCGGGAGGAGGAGATGTGACTGAGAACACAATTTTGACATTTGTTACACGACAAACCTGTCATGGAGTGAAGCGATGTTTGAGAGTCAGTGTGTGCGCTGTTTCGCAAAACACTCCGTGACTACCTGCCATCAGACGTGAAGATAACAGAAACAGTAGCAGCACCACCAGCAGCGGCTGCAGTGCTAAAGTTTCTGCTGCCGCTGAAAGGTATTTGCTTCGGCAGCCCTTAGCCTGTACAAACATCCCCAATACCGGATAAAATAACCTGTTTTGGGGCAGAACGGAATTTGTGGAAGAAGTGGGCACATTCCATTGCTCTCAAAAACTAAAATGTGCATGTTTGAGGGAGGGGCCGGATTGCAGTGACAAGGCGAAATCATTTAGCATGTGTATTTAGACTTTTGGTCGTTTTAGGTAAAAGTGTCACAAAGTTGTGCATTAAATTAGCATTTGTAAATATCTTCCCTATTTTAAATGCATGCTTTCACTTAAATAAGCTGCCGTTTGCTCTAATCACGGAAGGTCGTGCCGGCGTCTTTAGTGTAGATTCCTTCCCTCTGAATACTACTCGCATTCCCTGCCAAATGAAAGCTTGCTTGTCATTATTTTGAGCAAAACAAAAGTTGCCAATTGATTACAACTTTAAAAGTTGGTTTATCGCCCAATGCAGAAATGAATAACTTAAATCACGCATATATCAAAGTTTAAAAGGTCTACTGAGTCCCAGTGACGCGACTGTCCCATTAATTGATGTGGCTTCATGACACGGAGGCAGGAGGAGAGACGTCTGTTGTAGAGGCTCACAGTCCAACCCATTTACCATCTTTTCAGACTGATGGATGGCTGCATTAAGTTTTGAAAATTGTGCTTAACATCCATTTTCATTTATAAAGTACACAATGGTGAGAATGAATGCAGAAAAGAAGGCAATTTCCCAAGATACCTTTCTGTTGCTCCGATGAGCAAAATTGAGCCACGGCATAGATTGTCATTGCATTTACGGAGGAGATTCATTTATTTTGTGTCTTGTAAAAGGGACAGAATGATTTCTTTCCCGCTTGATTATTCTAGCTGATATGGTCAAGGAGGAGGGACTCTTTCCATATGGAATTACTCAATACAGTTGAAGTAGATGCCAAAAGCAACCAACCGATACACTCTTATAACCATAATTTCGCTTTCTGTTAGAACACTACTTTTTTTATCTTAACAACGTCATTCGTTGAGTTCTGCTATCGCTTTACTCAAAGTGAAAAGAAAAATCTGCAAATGTGTGCAGGATCGTCAGCTATTGCTTTAAGCTAACTTCCTGGCTATAAAAAGTGGATGAATACTTTGATGAACGCAGTGTCATCACTTCATTAACACTGGGTAATGTGTTTTAACCAATAGAAACTCCCCGATTTCGTTGTGTTTTGGACCTCTTATCACAATCCGTTTCATTCACCATAAATTTGGACATTGGCTCTAGCTGTAATACCCCTCTATTTCCTACGACTACAGCGTCAAAAGTAGAAAAGATCAGTAAATTTTTAGCACTCAAAAACGTCCTTCTTATTGATATAAGAGGGCTCCAGGAAGCATGTGATGATCGAGCAGAAAGCATAATATCCACGATTAAAATTGGTATACAGTTTTAGCGAAGTCATTTCCAAGATGCCAAGACAGGTGTCCTAAAGCATAGTGCTTAGAAGCCTTAGAAAAATCATGTATATATTTCACTTACTATAATTAATGTTTAGTAGTGGGAGAAGTTATCATTCCCTTTTGAATGCCGACATGAAATTCCTATATAAACCGTTTCATATGTATCACATAACCTGGACTTGCACCCCGTAGGAGATTTGTTGCTTTGTGTATTCGGTGTTGTGAAATTTCTTTTTATGGTGCTAATTAGCATGTCGGAGTAGCGTGAACAGACAACGTGCATGCAACTGCATTCTTTCCACTTTGTCCTCAAACCCTTCTTCGTGCTTTTATACTTGTCTTAATCGCTCTATTTTTGGTTTTAATGCATTGCTGTATGTTACCCATTTTGTGTAAGGGTAGAGCTGCCCTGAAAATCAAGCAGGCATTCATTTCAAACGCCAACAGTCTATTGAAACGTAACATTTTTACTTTGTGCACGGACTTGATTATGTCTACCTGGGGATGGTCACTAAGGTACTAGTAAATCATGTTGCTATTCTTTTAATAACCGTTGAGAGGGTGCCCTAGAATTTATCCGTGCGGCTTTTAAATGGTACTTAGTGCATAATTATTACAGTTTTTTTGAATCGACAGTCTCTTAATGTCTGTCGGTGCATTGCACTGAATACTTTTTCCCACTAATACTGGTGGGTTGTTTAATTGCCTCATCCACAAGTATTTTATGCATATTTGGGTTTCATTACTTTGCGAACAAACCATGTCTGACAGTTGTGGGGTAAAAAAAGGCCGTAAAATTTTCAAAAATTCGAGATTTCTGTTTCCCTTTCAAAGGAATCCGCATTTAACGGAGATGTTTTTGATGGTCTCCAGAGCGGAGCAAGACGTTCAATCCTTTGAATGTGTGTGATAAGAAAGTGGCTTCTAATTTTCTGCTCCTCACTCACCTCTATGGGTAAATTTTCCGAGTTTATGGGTACTTTTACGAACTGCTACCTTAGTTATTCCACGTACATGATGGCCCTACTGTACGTTTGACTGGTAGGTTGTTAGGACGAAAAAAGAGCAGAGCTATTGTCTGTTGATCCATGGACCGCCACTCTCACGTTGTAAATATGTGGTTTATAACCAGAAAAACATTTGAAGAGGTAGGCTATCCATAATTGTTTTTTTGTTTTGATATCACTAATTCTGGAATTTGGGTGAGTAATATGTTTTTTGATCGAAAGATAATTGCTTTATTGAGCTAACAACTTGAAGCATTTGCTATGAACCAGTTCTAAAGCATTTAAAACCCTTGAAATGGGAACGTCGGATTCTAATGTAGCGCCTCGAGACTTTTCCAAAGAAGAAAAAAGACGTAATGGTCTTTCAGAGTATGTAATGCCGAAGTACAGTAGGGCTTGAGGTTGTTGGCAAGGCTCAGAGGCCAGGCGAATCTTTAAAGTGCAGAGTTAAACAAACAATTAATATATTGCACTTATTCTTATAGACAATGATGACCATTTTATGGAGACCTCTTACTCCACTACCTAATTTATCAGTGAAATTTTACGGCTTCCTTGTTTCAAAGCTTATCTGTAGCAGTATCTCTGTTAGGAGGCGTCTTTCCGAATTGAAGAATGCGTACTTTTTCTTATAAAATACTTTTTACTGAGCTACTCTTATGTGCCGCAAATTCTGGAGCCGCGTAGAAGGAGTAGTGAACTTTAATGCAACAAACAGCTATTGCATTTGCTCCTCAAATTCTTCTTGACACGGTGTAAAGGGCGCAACCTCGTCAGTTCCATTAAAAAATGGCGCAGTGGTATTAGTATTAGGCACTGTATGTCGGGATGAAGATCAGGTTTCCCCTGCATAGACATTTACACACTGTGACTATTTCCTTTTCTCCAGATATTCCGATCTACTTTTATGCGCCACCCTTCTCCCTCGACTTCAACATGAACAGCACGGTGTGTGTGGGACAGAATTTTGAATTCCAATGCCGCGCGGAGCCCATCAACTATGGCATCAATTTAACTCTTTACCGACTAGATCCCCTCTTCACACTTTCCAGTCTTGAAGATGCGAACAATCATGGAACAGGCATCGACTTCAGGAACACCAATACCCGAGTTATACAGGTCTGTTTAACTAAAAAAATACAAAAAAAAAGACTTGCTTACTTCTGCAAATCAAATTGCATAAAAGTGGTTTGTTTCAAGTACTGTGGCGTGAATAAACGGTAGACCTTTAAGCCAATTTGACTCCCACTTAAAGGGTTAAAAGAAAGGCATAAAATATGGCGTCACCTTAGTCACTGGTACCTCGTGTTTTCCTACAAAGTAAGCGTAGTAAAATTGTATTCCCGATTTAGGTAGTATATTGGACTTCGTATGTTCTGAAACACAATGTTTTGCAGACCGCGTTCTAAAACAAATAGGCCATCTTTCCACAAAAAAGGCATTGCACCCACATTTTTTACTCGCTTGCAGTCGGCTTTTACTGCTGTGCTTTTTGCTGGCTTGTGATGTGGGTTTTGACTTCCAAAGCTGACAGTCAAATTTTTTGTCTTTCCTAACGCTGTAGTCAGTAAAACTCGATAACTTATGATTTTAAAGGCAAAATAAAAAGCACTTGGGCTATTTCAAGACCACATCAAACTAGGCAACTGTTTTAATGGAAAAATATTTTTAAGTAGAGAACTAAGTCTTTTAATCACCCGTCTCAATGTTGCGATTTGGACATAACGTAAATGATTTCATTTGGGGAATATTTTAACCAAAATAAAAAATTGCAAGGTTTTAACCTTATCCCTTGTTTAAGTGGCAATAGAACTTCCAGAAAAAGTACCTGCACCAAAATTACCCCACGCGAAGGCATCTGCAAGGATCTTCCGCAAGAGAAGGGCATGTGAAAGTTATCCTTGGTTCTCTTAGTACTGGAACGGAAACGTCAGATGGTCATGTTCGCCACCATTGCAGTGTCGAATAGGCTCATAATTCAACAGTAAAAAATGTGCGGAAAACGTAGTTTTCGTGAGAAGTTTATAATGCTCAAACTTCAGAATTACTAGACCCTATTCCTCCGGTCAAACAAAACAAAGGCCACTAAATACTATTTTTTTGCGTAAATTGACCATCCTTTCAGATTTGTATCACTGAATGCGCAACATCCACTTTTTAAAATGATACTTTTGTTTTTTGTTCTTTTTACCCTTATAAATTGACTAATCAGAATCAAAATATTTCAATGCTTTGAATCCGTGTATGACTTCAACAAATCGCGTCAACAACATGCGTTGTGGATGGTGTTATGGATGCAAGGCTACCAGTAAACTGGCTATCATATCTACAAGTGTCACGTGTATAATGCAGATATTCGTTAATATCCAGATCCTGCAGAGGCAGTGGGATACGTGCGTCATTAAAAGACAGTGATGATTACAATAACTTGTTAAGAACGCTGGTTGGAATCGTCCCCATGCGGCTCAATTCACTGCAAACGCGGCCATCACTGCTGTCACAAGTGTACACACCTAGGTGTGTGCATGGTGTCTGGGGCACGGGGGGATGGGAAGGTGACTCGAGAGAACATCGCGCCTAGTTGGGAGCTCTCGGTTTACAAAAATTTAAATTGAATAATTACATTGGCGGCTGGTCAAAGAAAGGGTGCGTGCGTCTACTTCACTTTGGGTGGTCCAAAAGGCATGTGATCAAAAATGCATTTGCAACTTTGCTGTGTGTTTTCAAATTCCATTCTACCTCCCCCAGACAATAATTTGGAATATAAGCCCTATTCGGGATCACCCATTAAGCCTAGAAGACAAATGATGTTGCGCGTAAATATTGAACCTCATGGTTTCCACTAAACTTATCATAGAATATAGGCAGTGAAAATTTTGTAGCGTCTTTCATGCCGACAATAATTATCTCCATTCCTTTTACTTAAAAAGCTGTAAGAATATCACGGTCAGCTAAAATAATGTATTTCTTAAGGTTAAATCTCTTAAATCGCGAAGCATTGCATGAAATCTCAAATAAATTCTACCTTATTTTAAAGGTATTAGTCTGACTAAATTTTATTGTTACTAATAAATACCTATTGCAGCACGGTCTGCGAATCACTGATTTTGTACATACTTGTGATAGATACCCATTTTAATTCACTCTTTTGCCTTTTACACACTCGAACAATGCGATGAGAGCATTAAGATGATGCGGCCTTGTTGTAGACATCCACCAGAAGGAAGGCCAAGAGCCGACACCTGAAGTACAAACTCCACTCCGTCGGTATGAACGACACTGGTGGCTACCTCTGCGTGGCTTCAGTGCCTAACATGCACGCAGCCCGATGGAGTTACATGTTCCTCCAGGTGGAGGATTGTGCCAGTGGGTGATACCTCTCTTTCCCTTGTTTCATAACTTGTCTTCGTTTATGTCTTCTGGTGTTACACAACCTTAGGTTGTTCAAAGGGCTGGCTTACAACTTTTGCTGCCTTTGAGATTGCAAATTGCTTCTTCCATTTGGACACGCCGACTTTTGACTGCTTATCATTCTCTTCACAGCCTTAATCCGTCGTTGCAAAATGGTAGTTCATGAATCTTACATCAGTGCATTTTCATGTTTAAGCTCGGCCGGTGATGTGAATTAAATTATCAAGCAGACAATACGTGACAGAAAAAGAACATCATGTGTGCTTCATTCATGTTCACTGGAGTTACGATTCACATTTGCTGACACTATCGTTTACTACCCTACCTCTTTTCAAAGGCAATCGTCTTCTGTTAATTCGGTCAGAAGGTGTCGGACATTACTGGAAACCCACGTGCTGGCTTCTTGGTTGATGCAAATTGATGTGAGATTCAATCAGTCAATCCAGACTTACCGCCAATACACAGAATTCTGGCGTTTCGTTCCAGAGGCTTTTTGGTTTCTAGATCATGATCAGCCAAAAAACCCATTTTTAAAAGGATACTACTTTAGCAAACAAAGGTTTGTTTGAATTGCAAAATGTTTGAAAAGGCCTATTACGAGCCAAAAACGCGCTGGAATGGGTCGCCTTTTTCAAATGGTTCTGTGAATTCCTGTAACATCCGTCTTATTTTCAACAGCTCAACATTCTTGGAGATGATGTGAACTGCGGAGAAAATAAATTTTCCTACAATTGACCTGCTTCAATATCTCAGGCCTACAAAAGTATAATAGAGACTGTTTTTGTTTACAAATACAAGGGGATTAGATAAATGGATTCTTGGTGGCTCATGACACTTGTTACTTTCCCTTTTACTGCATAAATTTTTAGCTCTTCCTTTTTACACAAAAAAAAATAGCTTGATTTCAAAGTAATGACAGATTTTTGGTTAAACTACAGGGGAGCAAATCACTACAAAAGGTTTGGCTTTAAACCCCAAACATGTCTAGTTTAAAATTACCATCTGCATGCCAAATTATTGCTTGGACCATGAATCCGTTTTCCTTTACTCAGCCTATAAACTAACTCTCAATTCCGAAATTGGACTTCAAATATCCTTTCTAATTTTGATATTCCCTCAAAAGCACTTACAAAGGGGATTTTCGGGTGATGCAGAGGCAGTGCATATGCAATAGAAGGCATTTTCAAGAAGTTGAATTAGCCGGTTTCATCTCTAGCCCTTATCTAGCCCACGTAAAAGGGAAAACGGAGGTGGGAATCATTTCGACTCTCCATGTATTATCACGTAGTGGGAGGGCATTTTCACTCTGTTTTTGCCTCTTCTAGTCCACATCGAGGTAAATGCATGTGGTTTTAAGGGATGACCATTAGGACTCCGTAAAATGTACTTCCATTAGACGGAAATGAGGGGGTTCAACCATTGACTGCACCACTAACAACTGTAGCCCTTGCTAATGCGCTACAACGATGGCATGCAGACTTCATATCATAATTAATAGTCTTAAAGTCGGAGCTGACTCACACGCACTTTCTTCTTTACAAATGAATGCATTTTTGCAAATGATTTTGTTCACTAAATGGACTCTCTACCAATGTCAAGAGACGCAACGCCTTTTCCTCTCTATTGTTTCATCAGGCCTCAGCGCTCTGGCATCCACAAAGCCCTTCCGCGAACGCACTTTGGAGGTGTTCACAAGTCCTTCAGCCCTCACCTTTATCTGTCTCCTGCTAGCAATTCTCCTCGTGACTCTGACAGCCCTGGTATTTCTAGCCTGGCGTCGACAGCAACTTCCTCTCTTTCTGTTTGGGTCCAAAAAGTGGAGCAAAGCGGCCAACAAGGTGGTGAGGGAGACTAACCTACTGTACCCGTGGTCTGCACCTCCCTTTCACAATTGCTCCCATCAGGTAGCCAAGGATGCTACCAATGCTTCAACAGCCTCCTACGTTGGAATACGATCTGGTGGTGCATGCTCCAGAGTAGGAAGAAATCTTCAGGTGGGTACCAGGTCTTCAAGAGTGATAAAGTAGTTTATTAGAAATCATTTCCATGTTTCATGCTAAAATTGTGCTGCAGTACTTCCAATAACTTCGTTAAATATGAGGCCTTGTCTTATTCGAGATCTACTGGCTTCGCGGGAACCCCAAATTAAAACCTTGTATTTCTGCTGTCTACTAAGGCATGTATTTCTAGCTTACGATGCCGCATCGTTAAAAAAACGTTTGTTATGAAACAAACTACAAAACGTATTCCAAAACGTATTATTGATAAGCATTGTTACCGCAGACAAAGAAATGTCAGTCGGATAAGTTCAAAAACTCTTCGGATGGAATTGATCAGAATAGCGTTTGCTTCCAAAACATCTACAAGTCTCAAATGCTTCAGCAACTTTATGATAATGCAAAATAGTTAAAGAATAGAGGTAGCATGTCAAAGTAATGTGTAGTATTTGTTTCCCTTTACCACTTTGCTAAATCATGGAATATCAATCTCTCCTCAATCTATCCCTTGATTCCATGAACTTTTGGTAAACTGGGGACTCAAGCTTAAAAGACTAGCCCATCCTCTCCTAGTGTTGGTTAACTACTACCGTTTATATTCAAATAGCCCGATGTATCACCTAGGTGCCAGCTGTGATAATTCAGGTGGACGCGTCAGTCACCGCAGGAGGTGACGGTGGTGGAGGCGGTGAGAATGGTGGTGAAGCAGAAGGCAAGCCGAGCGCCTACAAGATTCCCAGCGACCCCGCTTGGGAGGTGCCGCGCGACTGCATACGTCTCGGTCGCCAAATTGGCGCTGGCGCCTTCGGAGTGGTCTTCGCGGGCGTGATTAGCGAGCCTGCCAAAGTATTGCCTGGACTGCGACGCGGAGATCCTCTCGATCGGCCTCTTTGCAGTGCACAGGAGCTCACTGTTGCTGTAAAAACACTTCGCAGTAGGTGATTTTGCTCCTCTTTCCACTTTATGACATCAGATATTAATGTGACTAGTGTTCTCATTTTCCTTTTGGCATTTTTTGGACTAGTGGGCATATCAATAAGTTTATTGTCAAAACCAGCTTTTATTCAATCCTGTCTATCTCATATACCGTAGTTCATAGACTAAGGCATTGCTGCCTCCTCAGCTCACATGTGATCATGATAATTGACCAGGAAATGTAAATGGTTGTTTAAAAAACGACATTCACTTTTTTCCGCCTAAAGCACAAACACCTTTGAAGAAAAACACAAGGCAATTTAGCTCTGTGAAGATGTAAACGTCGTCTTCTCTTTGTCCACAATGCGATCACGCTCTTTTTCCGTGACTAATTGAAAAGGGGCGTTTAAGAGCGCCACTGGGAGATAACTTTATTGAAATCAGCAGTGTCGAAGTGCATCTATCCATATTAAGAATAGGAATCAGTAAGGGCTTTACAGAGCAAGCACCTTTTATTCCCAGTAATTGCGCTTAAAAGAAGGTGGGTGGATGGTGCATTTGAATTTAGAGCCATGAGAATAACCGATAATCCTAATGGGTAAAAGAAGCTTTCATCCACCAATATCAAAAGCAAAATGAGTGTTCTGCATCTGGTTAGATCGGCAATGGTCGGCGCTGAGGCTGGTACTAAAAATGGAAGAAATTGAATAGCTATTTTGAGGAGGAAAAGGCAACTTTTCTGTACAACACGAACGACTAGAGGCGGTAAAATACACTACGTTTGGAATAATAATATGCTCGAGCTCTTTAATTCCTCTAATCATCAAATTTTTCTTAAATGTCAACCCGAATAACATTGTTTTGACCTATTAAATGCACAAATCACAGTAGATTTGAGAACTGTGCTTCACCCCTCTTGAAGTTTTGGGAGCTCTAGCTGGGGGAAAGGTCCGATGTGTTTGTGTAGATGATTCGACATTTGTCGTTAAGTTAGGTGACAGCCGAATGACCAATGACTTGTTTCCAAGTGATCGCAGCCCATCCGAATAAGAATCACTTTGATCACCTTTGAAGGTTACAGTACTTATGCAGATGGGAAGTAAGCCTTTCCACATCTGTCCAGTGAAGTAATCTGGGGAATCCTTCTCCCTAAGGCACTTGTCATGCGTAACAGGAAGAGTAACTATTACTCCATGTCCCCACATAGTCTTAGCATTTTGAATCCGATTTCTCCCTTGATGACCAACAATTCTGCTATAATTGGTCTCAGTGGATAACACCGTTAGCTGATTGTTTAACACTTCTGTACTCAGAAGAGACTGTAGGCTATACCATTCACTTTGTTGTTCCTGGAGTTTATAAAGATCCACTTTAAAAAATACAGAAAAAGCATTATTTTGTTACCATAAATGGCGAGTTTTACTTACCCTTTATAGCTAGTAGTTCCATCAGACAGGCTTTGCCTTCCCATCTGTGCATGGTTTACTTACTCGTCTTTTGTCCTTCTGTACAACAGAGATGCGTGTTTAGTGTTTATTTTCCAAAATCCTTACCAACATTTCAACCACACAGATGGAATTACAGCACGGTAACACTATAACGGGAGGTGAGGTCCCGGTTGGATAACTGTCACTGCATATTAGGATTCAAGAGTTGTAGCCTTAGACACAATGCCTACATGTCTGGATGAGGACGGGTCCGAATGGGTGTCTGTGCTAACGAAAGGTGAGAAATAAGGTTATGCAAATTTATGCGTAATCTTGTAGACAATTTCACTGAACAGGAGTTGGCAGACCTGGTTCGCGAAATGGAAATTCTCAAACAATTCGAGCCGCACCCCCATGTCATCCAACTCTACGGTGCCTGCACACAAAACGGTGAGTCTCTTCAACCACATCACCGCCCATTCTATGCTCCCCTTTCTCTTTTCGCATGCAATTTGTTTCTATTACTTTTCCTAGCACACAATTTAGTTTCGCAATAATTTTATAGCGGTTATTTTTAAGGCGGCTGTATTTTTTCCTATTTACAGTCCTCATCGCATCTGCTTCTCCAATGTGTAACATTCTTTATATCACCTCCGTTTCTGCATTAGCCATGTGAAATTGAATCACGATATTCTTATTTGCATATCAAAACCTACAGTTGAAAATTTGCTAAAATTAGGCATCAGATAACACAAAATATCATCCCTACATGCTAGCTGATTTTCGCTATGCGTTTTAAATCAGAAGCCAAAGGAAATACGCAAGATTTGAAGTCATATTATTTCAATTTACGCTTTTGAATTTTATGCAGGCGAGACATTTTTCTACCCGGTTTCATCTTTGGACCAATAGACTTAAACGGCTTTTTGAGCCGCAAGAGCTCTGTTAAAATGAGGCATCATAAAATCATCCTTGATGGTATTCAATTTCTTGGTTGCAATCATCACGAATTCGCTTGTCCATGTACAATTTTACGTAGATATAAACGGGTCATAGCAACATTCTCAGTGGGGCAGAATCAAATCAGCTGTACTTCGAACATTTTTTGGTATCAACTGGAATGGATGCCGCTCTAGGATGCATATTTACGTAGTTGCATACTTCAAACTGTATCTGCTCACTTAAAATTTTCCCAAATGTAACTAGTCATGCGCAAATGTTTAATTAAACCTGGTGGCTCTGAACCGCGCCATTGTAATTGTTACAGCGCAGCTTTTGAATCAGCTATTCTCACATCCGATAGATCCAAGATTTGAATGCCTTGAGTTAAAATTCTCAAAACAGCGTAGAATGATACTGTGTGAATTTACGGCAGACGACTGTTCGTTTGACTTACACTTCCTTTTGGGTGTATGTGAATTGAGCGCCAGGACCGTCAATGTCTATCAGTGATGCCAATGGTGAGTCACACTGGGCACTCGTGTCCGAGGTCAAGAAAAGAGAACAAGGTAGCTAGTCATGTAACATGGAAGTTTGGCTAGATGTAGCTTCACTTCTCCAATGGGGTCTGAAAAATCATTCCCAAAGTTAGGCCCACCAATCTCAACTCTCCTTGCTGCCTCGTGAAAATCTCTGTACCCCTGTCCCTCCGCTGGCATTACAAAACTTATTATTGTCCTTATTTTTTGAACCCAAAATAGGCACGACAGCTAACATCATTAGGGAGCTGTAAGGGTTGGGTTACACATAAAGTTCAGAAACTTGGTGGTACAATGTCTGATGTGGTATTAAGCTGCGGGTTGGGCCTATCTCGGTGATTCAACAGCGGTGTCCGCTTCAGCGCACACAGCCGCCTCCACTGTTTGATCAAGTGGAGTGCAGACGTCGTTTGAAGCTTCTTTTCTCCATCTCGGTGTATAAGGTTGCACTTTTGCAAAAAGTGCTCTCCGTATGATTTACGGACTTTCAGTTTGCCTCGACGCTCGTGCATGCACACACACACACTCGGAGGCGGGAGTAACAATGGCAGCAGGCTTGACTGGCGCTTGTCCACACTCGTGCGTCCGCTAATAACTTCAACCAAAATGGAGCGCCGAAAAATAGCGAAGAAAACGGCAGCCCCAGACACGAGGAGGAGGTATTCATTCAGGCGTCTGGCGTCAGGTGACTCAACTTACAGTTCCGCGATGCCCATGTTGGGGGCGAATTCTAGTTTGTAACACTTGTGTCTGCACATCTCGCTTGCATGCAGCTTATGGCCCGCGCCGCCAAACGACTCTGCTATTAACTCACATTACTGTCAACAGGTTTGACAGCTACACCTATTCTGACGCGAAACTGCATTTGGAATGTACTTTCTCATTGTGTATAGGAATTTGCATTCCACATCCCACATTCCCGCAGTATCATATCTCAACCCAAAGAGGGTACGAGATGCATGTTTGAGAGTAAGCTTATTTAAGTGCCACCGAAGGATTCAAAACTTTTTTACGACAATATGCAATCAAAATCACATGCATGACACTGAGAAGTGATGTAAGCTGTGACACCTAGCATAACTTCCTCTGAAATCAGTCGGAAAACTCGTAGGGTTCATTTAAATTTGTTTAAAAAGCCTTTTTCAAGCTTAGGTGTCAAGAGCGCTCAAGTTCATACAGGCAAAAGGGTGTTTTTGCTTATTCCCTGTCAGCCTAGGGCTCTCTAATCTGATACACGAGAAGGAGCGGGTAGTCGACTGAAGGTGTAATGCAAGACTTCTTTTACTCCATTTTCTTATGACAAGCCGGAACCAAGTTGAAGTAGATTGTTGCATAAGAAGTTTTGATCCCAAACAAAATCTCGTTACAAACCGATCTTTATTTATTGCGTAAGGAGGAATTTGAGGTCCATCCCGTCATGACTCGTGCTCTTTAGGCGTTGTGAATCGTCCATCAAATGCAATCATTCTTGGTGGTTGATACTCGGGTTCCGTTTGCATCCGAACAACAGTTGCCCACGCCACCACTAGAAACATCAATGCCACTGTCAGCTTTAGCAAAACGGTAATAACAGCAACAACAACTTCTGCATCGTTTCGTTTTGTGTGTGTGTGTGTGTAAAAACGGCAACTGTTATTTTAAACTTGCTTCTGCCACTACAGGAGGTAGCTGAGAAACATCCTTCTCCCTAAAATTACGCCCCTAACTTCTTTTTAATATCGAGATTCACCCACTACTTTTCCCCCTACTACTGTCTAAGCAATCTAAATGCGTATCTGCTACGGTGACAGAATGATAATTTCGCAACTTAGTAAATTAATATGTATATATTCAAACCTTTTTGTCAACGATTCTGGAGGACTGACTGATTGCTCCAAATGAACACCTTGAGTAGCCAATCCTCCGACTGTACTGAAATCTCTCATATACTTGATTTTCATTTGTGATTTGGGTTCAAATCAATTCTATCCGTCAACGATTCTTATTTTCATCAAATCTGAAGCCTTTTATGTAAAAAAGTATTATTGCTGCGAGAAACTTGTATTACATCTTTTTAAAGATTCCGCTTTGCGACTTGCGACCACAAATTCGGTCTGTTAAAGCTAGGCGACTGAAAACTCACAAGGCAGCTGAAATTTTCTTGCAGCTTACATTTTAATGCGAAAGACCACTTTTTCTGACAAATCATTCAGAGTCCTTTTCTTGATGTCTCTTCTCACCCTACTGTGACGCTCAAGGCAATGCAGCCACACTTAACAAGCTGTCGACCGTTAAAAGCAAAAAATTTGAGAATATGTTGACTTCTGTATTTGATTTTAAAAAGCTTAAATCTATTTTGTCTGTGAAAAAGAGTTTCTTGTTATCGGACACTGTCAGGTTACGCTATTCATTACTTGCGTTCCTATGACTGAATACCTTAAAAGAGATTGCGTTAGCAAAGACAGTAATGCCGCCCAAGGAAACAAGCTTTGCTTGAAGAAAATGTCTTAAAGAAATTAAACGGATCCGAATTTTTCCTCTCTGTAGTATGTGGTCATGCTATCTGGTATAGAGTTATTTACTTCTCTGTGTCTTCCCATCGTAAGCTATGAATAGTTCCACCTCAAATGCATGCATCACCGCTAAGTAATATTCAGTTACCGTCAATCCCACCGCGGCCAAAACAGTGTCGCATCGTTCTAGTCTGAGGTGATACCCCCACTTCAACGTAAGTAAACATAATCGAGACTTGACTTTCGGTCGATTCACTGAGGTTGACAGCACCGTTTGTGCGCCTTCTCGTTCCACTGACGCGCGGGGAAGCAGGTCATTCTTCCTTAATTTGATTTTCACCTGTCACTTTCGTCTTCCGGTGGTTCGAATTGCCAAGAGTAAAACCGAATCTGCTTTTTATTCCACTAACTACCAAAAATTAACTTTTTAGCTATGGTATCTAATGTTATTTCACTGACCACAAAAAGGTGATTGCTTTGCTATTGAGTTTCGAGGACGTAATGTTACAAATGACCATGCTCATCTCAAAGGCTTCGGCAGTGACATCGTAATTCACTCATAATGGGAGATTGTACTTGATTTCGGGTAACTAAGACCTCAAGTTGGATCCTTTTCCGAAACGGAGAGAATTAGCACCTCGTACCAGCTTGTTCAAACTTGGCAGCAGAGCTTGTGTAAGTTGCTTTTACGCCTAAACTAGGGTATTATTAAACAATTACACACACTTTTTAGAATACCCTGACTTATAACATTGTCAAATTATAAGTTACATCTTTGTCACAACTTCCTTCTGCTCTTGTTGAATAATCTACTACATGCCCTGTGAGCTCAATATCAGTTGAGTTACTCCTTTCACTATCTTACGAATTGTAAAAAGTTTTAACAAAATGAATTGTTCTTTTGCATATGATATCCTACCATTACAGAAGATGTTTTCCTTAATAAGAGGATGTCGGTAAATTGGCAGGCAAGTGGAACTTCTAGTGGAAATACAAGGCACTTTAACCATACCGATGTACTTTGTAGAGGTAATAATCACTTTTAACGATGCTCATTGTAATCATGCAATTCTCCCAGTTGTATGCTATCTGGGTAATCGCATGTAGAATTGTTGAATAGTCTAGCAAGGCTTAGAAGAAGAAGTTTGAATTTTTGCTGCAATTTTGAAGTGGAATTATCATTGGAAATTTTGTTTGTTCTGTTTGACTTTATACATGGATGTAATTTCTTTTTCTTCCTCCCTCTGTCTCTGTCCCTCTCTCTATTCCTTCTTTTGCCATGTACCTTCTATTCTGCCCATTTTTTTCACTCTCATCCTGAATTCGAGCGTTGACAAGTGCATTGCATTGGTTTGCTGTGGAAGTTAAATTTGGACAACTGGAGATTTTGCTGGTGCCCTCTCTCTTCATTGATAATTTCAAAGCAGGATAACAGCTTACGGTTTAGCCTATTTTTAACCGATATCTTATTCCGAATTGCAACAAAATGCAAAGATTGTATGCAGGGTATGGTGGACTCTGTCACAAGTAAAGTTAAAACGGCCAATGAAATACTTTAGGAGGAAGGAATTTAGACTGGTGGATGGCCCTGACGCATGCGTTTCTCTGCCTTAGACCTTCCCCATCGTGGATGATATTTTTATCTCACCACTTGCAAATGGCCCTCTTGTATTCCAACGACTTTACTTCTTTCAAATCACCTCCGAGAGTTGTTGCATACATCCCTCTTCGTTTTGCTGCACCACTTGAATGCACGTTTTTGATAGGTGCTAAATATGCAAACGCGTGTGAGGAATGCAGCCTTGACATTCCGTTTCCTCATACCTGCAGTACTTTAATCTATTTTTGGGATTCGAAAGATAAGAAGTTATTGTTTGCTTGGTCAGAGGATTTCACTGAAAGTGGCCACCTCTTTTTAAATTTTCACTTTGCAGGAGAGGAGTATCAATTGGCGATTTTATTGGTATAAACGGAAATGGAAAGATTTCGTGCATTATTCTCCAGTCACTTTCACCACTCATTAATTGAAGTGATGCTTTTAGATACTGTGTGTAATAGACACATATACACATGTTTCCTTAAGTTCTATCAAGCTGTTTGCAAATAAACTTATCATTCACAATGTATGGTAAGTGCTTTGGGTATGGTAAGAGTAAGTATGTATACGTCGTAACGTTTACGATACCCAGTAGTCTATACCACAGCGACGCACCAATACATACTCCTAATATATACTACTGAAAACGCAGCTCATACCTCTCTGTACAACAAATATTTAGCTGAGCAATAAAGGCAAAAAAATGGAATTCCAATATTCACCATTAAGCAGTCGAGGCTTTAGCTTTACTCTTTATAAAAAATTGTGACCAGCAGCCAAAGTGCTTACTGCTTCTCATTTTATGTGGAAGATATTCCCTTTAAGTGCCTACTATTGCACTTAGTTCACATTGGCATAATATGGATAATCAAAGAAACAAATAGAAGTAAACAAAATCGGCCATGGAAGACCTATGAATAACCACAACCAACTCCAGATGGAGCATCTTCAAACTGCATACCAGATTGATGCTACATGCAGGCTAATATTGAAGTGACATCCTTGAATGTCTACGGCAATTCGATACACTTTGTGGCAACTCAAATTGCTCTTTATCAATTTTTATAGGCCACCAGAGATTCGCTCCTTTTAATCAGGACGAAGTTATATTCAAAACAATGCAATTTTTTTGTTAGGCTTGGAATTTACAACTGTTAGCTGTCATTCTGAGGTTAGGAATTTGCCAATGGGAATGCTTTCAAATCACGTCGTATTGGAGGCTATACATGTTATTTTTTGACACATGGGGTGTTTTTCTATGAATAGCATTATTCACTGTTTTGACGGCTCTCATACATAAATTCCTTTAAAGGTCGACATTCCACCACCTTTCCTACCATACATTAGGACGCGCATTTGCTAAAATCTTTGTAGATCTTGTAAAAACCCTTTAAACTTTGATATAACTTCATTTTTACAGAAGTGTAAGCGATTATGAACAGATATACAGACAAATACATCGGTTGGTATATTCGCTGGTTTTTAGGCCAACTACAAATGTTGGTTGAGTTGGCGCCTTATGGAAACCTTCGCGACTTTCTCATGGATCGCAGACCACGCGCTGGGCAAAAAGTGATAAATCAGCCCCTCTCCCGACTCTCCACTAGGCACCTTGTCAGTTTTGGATTGCAAGTTGCACGAGGCATGGACTACCTCACTAGGCTGAATGTGAGCTTTCGGGCAAAACCCTTCATGTGTTGTGTTTTCTAAGCGTTCTATTATCCTTGCGTGGATGTATGCTTCAGATTGTCCATCGCGATCTAGCGGCTCGTAATATCCTTATTGGCAACAGATTTGTGGCCAAAATAGCGGATTTTGGACTAACAAGGGCCGTCTGTGACTACTACAAGAAATGCAGTGACGTAAGTTGAATCATTTAGCCTTTACTTAACAATAAATCCGCTTTACCTAGAACGAGCTATAATCAAGGCAAAGTTATTCGCTATAAAGAAGATTTTCATGCATTTTAACCCTTTTCGCTAATGAATAATATTTCTCATCGTTTTTACCGCTTTCGTACAATAAGCATCGTTACCCAGTCATGAGCCACATCAGTTTCGCCACGTCATCATTTGAAGGAAGCTTTTTGTATAAGTTCGGAACAAAAATAGTTTGGAACAGTTGGTCTAGTTTTTCATGCTAAGAGTCATCCTTGAATTGAGTGTCCGTTCTTCTTCGCAAATCCGTTCCAAGTGAAGTTGCTTATCGTAAGTAGTTTATTTTAGTTTCACTGTTGCTCTCTTTGGTTGATCGCACAAGTGCTTAAGTATATACATTAATACGAACATGTAATCTCCTGTCTTACTGCGACTAAAGACAAGTTGGATTTAATGAAGCAACTACTTCGCAGGAATTAATCATTGGTAGTAGAGCCGGAGCCAAGCATGTCATGTGCGGAGTCAAAAATGACCCTGAGCCGAGTCGCAAGACAGCTTTTGTTGCTTCTGTGGTCATAAAAGGTGATTCCTACCGGCACCCAATGGAGTGTATCTTTATCAGCATTTCACCTTAGATGATTTACTGAGATGAAAACGTCCAGTGCTCCTATGTTTAGCACAATCCACTATAAGCATGCAAATTTCCTAAGGTTTCTCAGCTTATTAAGATGAATAGCGACGATTAAGAATCTTGGATGGCTGCTACATTGCATGCAAAAGTTTATCGAGGTACAGTATTCCACATAAGCGCTGAAATTGATATTGAGACTAATATGTAGAAAAAGCAATGAGTTAAAAGAGGTAGTAAAATTTGCTGTTTAACGCATAGTCGCCATTAGAAAATTGACCGTAAAACTTATGGAAATTTTATTTACGAAATTGAAAATAGGATAGTTTGGTTGATTTATTGAGAATTAGGTGACTAAATGTATCAAAAGTAAGATCATTTTAAGGGTCGTGTAAGAATGTAAATTTAACTCAAGTCTCTGCGATTTGGTAGCGTTTTTAAAATACCATTTATCGCAATCATAATTTTTAAAGCCTTGTCATTTTCGTCACGATTTTGATTCTAATTTATCAAATTGGTGCATGCAACGTTTCGAAGTACTTTTATCTTCAGTGTCGTTGAAAATGGTCATTTTTAATTATCCTATTCTCTTTTCTACCAAGCTGAGACATAAAAACTATTAAGCGTCAAGCGTTGATTATCAAATTCCTTCATCTTCAACTCGTGGGCTGTGGTCCATGACTTGATAAATGTGCAATAAATCCCAAAAGAAGCTTGGAAGTGCAAAACAATATATTAGTCCTCCTGGCAAAACATTAAGTTATTAAGGTTCCAGTTTTAAAACCCTAGTCAAAGAAAAAATTTGGGTAGGTCCATTTGCTCAAGTAATAGTTCAGATATCCGGTGTTTCCTGCTTCAAACATTTGGCGTTTTTTAGTCACACTTACTACTTGCAAGTAACGAGTAACATTACACGTAGATTTAATTATTTTATTTAGGGGAGACTACCAATCAAGTGGATGGCTCCTGAATCCATATTCGATCGTCGATATACTACTAAAAGTGATGTGTAAGTCAGCTGCATGCAAAGTTTTCATATCATCGCACTATCAGTAGCCTTTTATGACTGCTATATGGGTAAAATCGAGTGAATCACATACAAATTTTAGACTTTATTAAAAAAGGTGGTTGTAGTTACTTTTTCGGTTATCAAGTCGAAAGTCATTTAAAAGTGTAGACTCTGATTCAACTTGTGAGTAAATAAGCTACCCTATTAAGTAAAGTTTTGCTAATGGAAAACCCTGCTCATGCTGAACCAATACCTTGCTAATTAATCAAGTGATCATGCTCTCTCCTTGCAGATGGTCTTTTGGAATTCTTCTGTGGGAAATCTTCTCCTTTGGTGGAACACCCTATCCGACCCTGTCAGCAGAGGCGCTCTTAAAGGCCCTTCAATTGGGCTTCCGGAATGAGCAGCCACTCGCCTCACCGTCGTCCGTCTACAATCTCATGCTCGCCTGTTGGTCTATCGACCCGGTGGCCAGACCCTCCTTCGCCCATCTCGTATCTTCCCTCCAGCAGGTCTACGATGACACCTCGGCTTCTTCCTCGATTTCGTCAGCGTCTTCCTCGTCTCTTTCGTCTACTTCTTCATCCTCCTCCCGATCCTCCTCTCCCACTGTCTCCACCGTCTACTTGACCTTAAACAACACCATCACTAACGTCAACACTGACAGCAACAACGGAGGTCTGCATAACTACAATAACCAGGGCGTACACACCAGCACTGTCAGTGCCCCGATTTCCCCGTCGATCTATGAATCGACTGCCCCTCGATTGCCTCTCGGGGAGCAGTGTCCATCCTCCTCTCTCTCAGGGAATTTCCAAGGTTATCAGGGACCTTTGGGGCCACCGACAGGTGGGGGAAACAGTGTACTTGTAAATAATTGCTATGCCGAACAGGGACAATACCTGCAAAGTATACACAAGGCGTTCTCTATGCATTGCAATTATGTTGTGGTAGGTCGCTTTTAATAATAGTTTAACGCTATTATTTGATGAGAAAACTACTTGACTGGAATTCTTATTCAGTTATTAAATTTCTACAACCAACTAGTCACCCTTGTTTAAGATCCATTAGTTGGACTTGTGTTAGTAACATTTAGCAAACATTTTTTTTTCGAAAATTTGTTTGTTTGACGAAACTTGTTTAAGTAGCAAGGACGGAAATCCCTATTAAGTGGAAAATCGTGGGGCTTCCGGACATCTCACCTTCCCTTGGTCATCTTGCACACCATAGACATTCAACTTGACATCATGCTGTGGATTACTTTAATTTCTAGATGATTGTACCTTTGCTTAAAGTTACAATGAGCCTTCTTGTAACTGGAACAAATGGCGCTTAGTTTTGCCGTATATCCCGATCTTTAATGGTCATGGTTAAGTTAACCATATTGTACCTTTCTTCCCTCCGATTCCTTTGTTTAAAACTCCTCTTTTTAGTCAGTAAGTTTAAGAAAATTTTATTCGCAAAATGGGGGCTACATTCATTTAATTGATCAATATATTTTGCAATGTCCTTTAGGCGAAAGTTTATTCACCGCTAAAGGTGACAACAATCATGCATGTGTAGCGCCCGAGACTTCCCTGAAGACGAAGGAAGACACAATACTCAGGCGGAATGTGTCGTCGATATATAAAAGGGGTTGGCGGCTACCGGCATGGCCCGGAGGCCAGGTCAGCCGTAGGATGTACAATGGCTGGGTCCTAAGTAGCTCGTTACCGAAACCGGGAGTTAAACGATTAAAGTGCTACACATGTACCTAAAGTACCGGTAGATTGGCTTGAATTGTGTGCCAAACAGAAACAACTTTTAAGGGCTGGAGATATTTTGTATTACCCCGGCATAGGAAATACCAGTGGCGCTTCAGCCTCATTCCCTAATCTAGACTTATGCCAAAAACAATCATTGCAAACTAAAAGCTAGATGAACTATTTGAAAAACAGCTGGTTTGACCTTTAACTACGAGCGGAAGTCTGCGCGTAGAAAGTGTTTTTATCTTCTTTGTAGCCCCCACGATCCAGCGAGTAAAGTGACCAACTTGGACCACGATTCTGGGACAAGTGTTTGTGCAGGGAGTCGCATTTTCATACCTCGCATTTTGTACGGACCGCTACCCGGTGCCTTCCCCATTTGTTCCTCCTGCAGTCTTTCCGGTTCGCGCGATGGAGGTCGTATTTATTCAGTACCACCACTACCGTCGCTATGCCCCATCGATTCTCCCCTTTTTTGCGTTCTAACATGTACACAGCAATGCAGCTAACCACATACCTACGCATGTAAGTTATTTATCGTGCCTCTATGACATGCATCCACTGTGAGTGCCTTACCCAGTCTTCACTTTTTTCACAAAATACACTTTTTTAATGCAACCCACTTATTCCACCCGACTTTTCTGGCAGAAGGAATATGTAACGTCAATCAGTCAAGTCGAGCTTCCATGGTACAAATATATTTCGGTGTACTCCAATTCCATTGAAGCAAGTTTATGCTCGGGGGTTTCTTTAGTAGTTCATTTTTTGTGCCAGTGCGTGTAACCTTTGCGATTAAGCTGTTTGTTAGGGTAGAGGGATGATTATCTATTCAGCATGATTAAAGAGGTGAATAGATAGCGGTACATTTAAGAGTAACTTCCAGGGCTCAATGTCAATAACTGAATTCACATTTGGTACTATAAAATATAAGGTTTGCCAATTTCCTGGAGATGTGGCGCATTGAGCAAGGATAAAATAATGGATAACTGAATCCAGGTAACATAAATGTCGACTTAAAAGTATCAGCGACCCCTGGCAATGCTACGACAAATCGCTAGACTTATTACCGAAGTAGGTGTACAAACCAATTTGTGTATTTGTCACCTTAAATTCCTAAATGCTGGATCCCCCCAACAGAATGTAAATTAAAGGCTTTGATATGGAAAGCTGATTTTCCCAAAGAACGGTGTGTACTTTTGTTACCTATTATCTGGCTTGCGGTTTATGTATTAACAAGTATGGTAATATACATAAGGAAGGCCAATTAGTTTAAAAGTTGAAGCTGATTTAGCACCCTGGGACTTTCCTGAAGGCGGATAAGGGCCTAATACTTGCGCAGATTGTGTTTCCTTTACTTACAGAAGGGAACAAGGGTTACTGACATAGCCTGGAGGCTAGGCTACTCGGTTGAGGTATTGTGGCGGGGCTCCGAGTAGCTCCTTAACAGAACAGGGGGTTAAATTTACAAATAAAGTACTACAAATCCTAACCATAGCAAGTCGAGCCTTCTTTGAATCCGTAATAAAGTAAATTGCTGTGTAGAACATGTATTACTACCCTACGAGCATACCGTAAGGCGACTGACATGAGTGAAGATGAAAGAGGACGAAAGTGAAATTCACGCAGATTCAAGGGCTTTGCGTAGCTAAAAGAGAAGCTAATCATCGCATTATCTGGCATTAATTCTATCAAAATTATTAATCCTGGTAATGATAAAAAACAAGAAAGTCATTTAGTTCTGTACTGAATAAGTGCGACAAGGTTCATAAATAATGTCAAATTCTAGCACCCGCAAAGTGATTACCAAAATTTTAAATGAATATTTGATGCATAATTTAAGGATTTTGTGTTTGATTATGACTAATGAATAAACACGAATCCGGTACATCTTTGTTATTTTACTTCCATATAATTGTATTAAAAAAGAATTTTTTTATAGAAATGAGTATATGAGTTAAGGCTGAAAATTACCATCAAGGCCCGTATATTTTACTACTAAATAATGTCACGGCATAACATAGAATTGTAATTGGATGAAGTCAATTGTCATTATGATTGGGCAGTGTATCTAACCCATTCGTACATGTCCGTGTTGTAATTATTAAGCATTGCCATTGATTCATTATGAGCTCCATCGGTACCGGAGTATGTCTCGAAACGCGATTTTATTCCACCTCTTTATAGTACGATCTGTCTGCTTCTCAATTTTCGCCTGAGGGCAAGGTTTTCCAAATTGAATATGCATACAAAGCCGTGGAAAATAGCGGGTAACCCATTATGGTTCATATTACTTGGTAGAACTGCTGTTGCACTTAAAGGCAAAGATGGTGTCGTATTCGCAGTTGAAAACATTGTTCTGTCTAAACTTTATGAGCCTGGCTGCGTAAAACGGACCTTCTCAATTGACGAACACATTGGGATGGTTTGTAGTAATATCTGTCTTCACACCATTGCAGGTGGTAGCTGGTCTTCATTCAGATACAAAAGCCCTTGTTGAGATTGCAAGAAATGAGTGCACAAGTTACAGGGAGAACTTTGGGTCACCCATTCCTGTCAAGGTATGCAAACTCTAGTAACCAGCTCGCGTAGTCACTTTGTGAACGCATTTCGATGCACATGCATGCGTACACACTTTACAGCGCCATTAGACCTTTCGGTGTTTCCATTCTTCTCGGATCATACGAAAAGGACGGTCCTCATCTTTATGTCATTGAACCTTCTGGAATGTATTATGTAAGCTTGATGCTATTTCCACTTCCAATGTTCTGTATTCATCACGTACAAACCCTTGAGCTCAAACTTCCACCTATCCTCGCTTTTTATTGAATTTGAACTATCCGCATATACAGGATGCAATGAAGGGACAGATGCAAGTAGTTGGTCCCCTCATTCTGACAGTATTTTCTTCAATCGGGTTTCAGGCTTATGAGGGCTGTGCCATTGGAAAGGCAAGGCAAAACGCCAAAACTGAGTTGGAACAAATCAAACTCGGGGACATGAACATTCAGCAACTCATTAAAGAGGCAGCGAAAGTGTGAGAGTTTTATTGTTGAGCTTCATTTTCACCTTTTCGTGGGGTTTTTGCGGTTTCATTGTTTAATAAGTGGCTCGTGGTAAGGAATGTGTTCATGGTTCTAAGATTTTATCTACATTTAGAGGCACCGAGGTTATGATCCGTTACTCCTTGGTGGCTACCTTCATGCATACTTTGGTACATATCCCATCACTGCTAGCTGCAAATGATTTTTCTCTAGTATTTACACCGTACACGATGAAATCAAGGATAAGAACTTTGAATTGGACCTCAGTTGGGTTGGAGCCAGTAAGTCATTCCCATTTGTATCATTTTAAGACGTATTAATGCTTCACAGATCCATACCGTTTCAATGGTTTCGAGGAACATGGGTTACTACGCTTCCTCCAAAAGAACTGGTTATTCTAGCTTCAGTTGTTGTTGCTCACGACTAAAATAGCAGGTTTTCATTCCCATATTAATTTTTTATGAATCGGGCTCAGCTCCGTTTTATGATCTGGAATTAAGCTTGCTAGTCACTGTGGTTGCTGAAAACAGGGTGTTCTAGCATGAACGCAGGCAATCCTTTAAGCGGTTTTTTGCTGGTCAATTTTTGTATTTTTAGAAACTGACAGTCGTCACCAGGTCGTCCCCCCTGAAGTTCATCAAGAGGCCGAGGACTACGCGAAACGCTCTCTTGAGGAATCCGGTGATCTTGACGAAGAAATTGGCATGTTATAATATCTTTATGGAGTTTTTACCAATAAAGCCCCCTCCTTACAACCAATTCCGTTTTCTGTGCCGATATTAAATTTAGGTAAAACCACTTAGACACTTAGATTTGTTTCTGCATCCTCCTTCCTTATAGTACAGTCCGACACCCCTAGTCTACGGTGTACTTTTCAATCGCCTGATCCCACCCTAAATGTGGAGCATAAGAGTGAAGGTTTAGAAAAATACAACTTTAAAACAAGCATTTAAAAACATGTCGCGGAGCGGGCCTTTAAACAGTTTTTTGAATGGTTGGTTGTTTCGCCTGCAGGGCTTCGATATCACTAAAAGAAAATTGGTTTCATTGACTGTGAGTGGCTTACACTTCCGGAATGTTGAAGTCTTCTGTCTCTCGGATGATTAGCTCGGTGAAGATAGGATTCTGTAGTCGTAGAAGCTCTCCATTCAAGAGATTCCGCTCCAGTTCTCTCTGATTTTGACACTTCGACATCTCAACTTCCAATTTGTGTTCTGCTTCTTGGTTTTCAGTGAAGATTTTCTGCAGTCTACAAAAGGAATAGACTTTTGGTATATTGATATTTGAACATGTGCATCAGCATGTATTTAGAAGGTAATTCCGAATATCGCTGCAGAGCCAACTAAGGTTTGGATATTGCGATTTTGCCCGAGAATCACCAAAAGCAATCGAATTGAGATGATTGGAATAAAAATCTCACCTATCATTCTTGGCATTAACGGCCTCCAACTTGTTCAAGAGCAGTTGTTTCGTCTCGTTCAGCATTATTCTCTTCATGCGGGCATCAGAGCACTCCTTCTCAGCTAAAATAGCTCGTTAAATTTGGAGAAGTGAAGTAACAAACTTGCGTTTAGCTCCTCTTCGACAAGTGCTGCCCTGGCCTCGATTTCCTTTAGTTGTGCTTCCAAACGTAAACGTTCTATGAAAGAAGCGCAATATTGTTCGTTTAAGCAGGCGGGGATGTGTCACGTGTTGAAGTGAATATCATGAAGCCCAGGTTTTATTACCCTAATACCTACGAAGAGATGCGAACTTCCGCAACGTGAGGTTGTGTTTTGTTTTACTATTATAAGTCGAGAGCAATGCCTGTGACATTTGGCTAATTCGTTGTCGAACCTGATACCACAATCCTACTGATGAGTAAGGGTAGATTTATGGTTTAATAAAACCCAGCTTGATTTTTATTCATAATGGTCTGGCTAAAATTAAGCCTTTTTTTCCTAAATTGGTGACACTTGGCAGGGTGGAGGTCGTACCAGTTTACCAGACAAGAGTCTGGTTAGAAATGACTCAAGTACCAATCCACTCACCTTTTATGTGGTGTTGAATCGCTCTTGAAAGAGGGGAGAAGGACAACCCCGGTGTCCCCATTTCAAAATGCTTAAGATAACAAAAAGCACGTGACGTGGGGTTGAATTCACATGTTTATAAATTGCCAGAAAACACTTCACATGTAACATGTTTGACTGCCGTTTTATCATAATAACACTAATGTTACTATTCCGTTTAGAAACACCACTACCGTTTATGGAACCAATTTAAGGATTTAAAATGCAGGAATCAGATTGCATAACCCCGCCGGTCAATATATGTTGCAGACGAGTAGTGAGTTGTTTAGCTAGGGCCTTACGATACCTGTTTCACTGCACGCTATCGTCTGCACTAACTCCGTCTCATTAGAATCTATATGACCCATCTGTACAATCCACCCATCTCACACCTTTACACTCAATGGTTAAGCTGTACAGTTAGTAATTCCTTCCACAACTGCCCCAGAAAACTCGATTCGATTTATGCAGTTTACAACAGGAAAGATAAGGTCAACGGTGTTGGGCAGCGAAAGCAGCCCCAAGGATGGGAATGAGAAATAAGACTTGAATGAAGATATGGGAATCAAACCAATAATCTATGAGGTAGCAATTAAACTTGACAGAGAGTAGTAGAACTAAATTCGTTTTACGCGTGACAAGTCACGACTCTTCATGACGGCAGCAGTCTGATACAGCTAAAATCATTGTGCCCTTAGTACTGAAGGAAGTAAAACGCTTTTATGCTAGTCACCCTGTCAGTGAGACCGAGAAAACCATTTTCTAAGGAGATAATAAGGTCGGCAATTCCCACAGGGAAGTCTGCACTTCTAAGTTGATATGGTGCTAAAGCCTGGCTAAGTTTTCCTGACATGAAGTGATATTGATAATGCCTACTTAAGTCGACTCAAACCCAGGTCATTCTATCGCTTGAGAGTAGTAGGACTGTCCACAAGGGTTCGTGAAACACAGGACCGTACTTTGTTCAATGTGGAAATCCCCGTGAACGTGGACCATTGAAAAATGGGATAAGTTGACAAAGTGCCGGAGACAAGCAGATCAGAAGCTTACCGACCAAACTACTTCAGTCGCCTAAACATGTGTCCCTGCACTCCTCATTTATTGGTTCTAGCCTGCCTGCTAACAAATGAATTCCTTGCAGAAAAATCAAAAAATAATTTTAAAAATGTAGCAGACTTCAACACGTTTGCAGGTGTTCTGCAGACTGGTCCATTTCAGAAGTTTGCAGAAACAACCTTACGCTTGTCACAACTAGACACACTTGAAAAACCAACAACGCCACCTTCCAATGGGACACATTGGCCATTTTAGAATTCAATATTTTAAGAAAAAAGTGAAAGATTGAGATTTTCAAATCGTTTAAACATCAAAACAGCAATTTACCACATCAAAGGGAACATTCATCGACCAAACTTGCAACTCAAAACCAACTAGAACCAGCAACAACCAAAAGCGACAATTTCTAGTTAACAGTTTATTTCAAAATATCAAGTTTTTGTACAAAATAATTGCGGGTGTGTAACGCTCCAAGGAGATTTAAATACGCCAACAAGAAGAATGAGAATAAGCAGGGTCTTCCTTCCATACGAAATGCGTTCATCTGATGGAAAAGACAGTGCGGTGTGGTCGGTAGTAGACATTGGCCTGTTCGCGAAAGCGGTTCGCGAAACACACTGCGACGTGGGACAGGAGGCGGGCAGAGTGGGAGTTGTCATTGGAGTCAAGCTGTTTCAGGGCAGCCATCACAGCAGGGGAGAGGGCAACCTTCTTCCCTATAGGAAGGCGATCCTCCAGCCAAGGGAGAGCAGTTGGACTGATGAGGGCAAATTCTTGCAGCGGGGTCGCACAAGTGATCGGTGACATCTTGCGAGAAACTGCCTCCGTCGCGAGCACCAAGTCGGCATCTGTTTCGACTGGAGGCAAGGGAGGGGAGCAAGGCGACCACATCATTCATCACTGGTTGTTTGTATTCAAATGTGGGTACCAAAAATGGAATTTTGAGCAATGCAACATAGTGTAGGACCAAGGCTGGTGATCACACAACTAATGAAGCAGAACTCGTCGTTTCTTCCACCGCAGTCGTGTTCAGTACTAGTCTGCGACCAAATTAAAGTTCAACTCTCGCTACACATGCATTCAAGAAAGAGCCACCTCAGTAATTTGAGGAGAAGCACAGTGTCCATAAAGTTTTACCCAAATCAGCCATTAATGGGATTCTTCAGGCCATCCTGTTTTAAATCGGGAAATGAAAACATTAGGAAAGGGATGAAACAGGTTATTTGTTCAGACCAAGATGAATGCATACAACTCCAGAAAGTTGTGCAGTTTCGGTAGTTATAAATGATATATTAAAAGTGTAGAGACAAGGGGCTGTGAAAGCTTAAATAGTAACACTAAAGAAAGAAATACAACTCCCATAAAATCAGTACTTGTCCTGAGTAACGTGGTTTAAGGCTGCACACAGGAAAAGCCCGTGCAAATTGAAAACTGATTCAAAGGGTTGTTAAGTATCACCCACGCGTACCAGGTCCAAAAAGGCAAATAGCCTAAGTTTAGTAATAAAACAGTCAGCAATGCACTATAATATTGCTTCTTTAAGATCGCATGGATGCAAAGCGACGTTGTCAAAAAATGACCCCATATCCCATTCACTGGTGGAGCGGAGGCAATTTCAATTCCGTGGAGCAAATGCCTGACTGCGTATCTCACCCAGAGACATCACTCTTAGCATTTAACACATGACTTGGGATGACTAGTGAATAACTCTAGACGTGAAATGCATTTCTGCACTTTTGGATCACCAGTATTCTTTCCCACACCACTGCTTAATGCATCAGCGAACAGGGATTGTTGAAATTTCCTTCACCGATGAATAACAGTCACTAATCTACAATACAACAGAAAGATATAAAAAGTAAGTTTGATAATTTTTTGCAAAGTATCGTCCAAATCAAGCGTAAGTATCGGAGGCATGGTTCCACAGATAAATCCTATTGTGGCACGGCTGCATATAGGCTAAAGAGCTGTTAACCTACACAAAGGGATGTCGATCGAGAGGGAAACCGTTGCAGAGGTGGCCTGTGCGGTGGTTGACAGCAGATCGGCCCACACAGCAGGCTCTTGCAAACACGAGTTCCCATCACATAGCAGCGAAGTAAGTGTTGTACTCGGCGCTGCCAGCAACCTAAACACAGGGAAATGACCATCAGTCAATATCACGCGCCATCCAAAGGTGACAAGAAATCTGGAGCATACGGATTTGCATCTGGACAAACAGCTAATTAACGATGGCGACTAGGCACAATTTTGAAGTGATTAATGTGCTACGTAGAGGTAAATTATTTGCCGCAGAAGTGTGTCAAGACGCACCTCTGAAAGTTCATAAGACACCCCTCCGTCAAGTTGCACTGTCCGACATCCAGTGCCTGAATCTTACAATTGCCCTGAAATTTGAAAATTTAACCGTGGTAAGTTACGGCGAAATGATCCAAGGCAACTTACTCTTGCACCCTTACCGAATCAAGAAAGCGCGCAAGACAAGCAATAAACGCATCTCCTGATGGCCTTGAGTCGGCACCTTTTGAAGTACTCTCGCAGAGCATCCAACACCCTTTTGATAATACATCGCCTCCCAGAAAGAGTTCAGCAGTTGCGCATTCCTCTGTGCATGATGCTAGTCCTCCTCGGAGACGTAAAACACGAAGAGACGAAAGGTTGGGTCGATTTTTCTTCTCTGGGGGTGTAAGCAAGTCAAGAAGAAAGTCTTCGTCTGTGGAGATCAGCCGCGATGAGAGCGGATTCAGGCTCATGTCCAATTCAGTGAGGTGAGCGAACGTCGAGCCGGATGACGCACCTAACTGATGGGAACAATTTAAACGCATCCTAGCCAGCGTACAAAACTCAAGCCGTAGCCTGAGGAATAAATCTTGACAGCTACACATCCTAGTTATTAAGAAGTTACAGTAACTCCACTTTGTATCCAGCAATAATGATGTATCTGAAATAGTTACACACACTTCCATCCCAGAATTGTTCAATTTCATTTGCAACAAAGTGCGGTGGACGCTAGCTACAAACAAATCAGCTCATTAATGGAAATGATACGATGAGCATAAGTTATAGACTAGTTAGTAGAACTATTACTTTGGCTTCCTCATACCCATAAAACGGTTCCCTGAAGCGTTCTTTCACTAGACAATTCCAACAAATGAGAGTACATATTTTGATCCCACTTAAATAACGGGGTTTTGCTGTAAGCCGGTATTAAGGTGTTCATAAAAATCATTAAACAAAGTAATTCTTCCGCATAATATTGCCACAGGGTGTCAATTCCGTGCTAAATGATAGCTGCCATCGGGAGGTCGTCTGCAATCCTCTATCCAGATCCATAATGAATGTAGAAAGCCGGTGCTTGAAGACTATTCATGAACGAGCACGCAAAATTTCTTAGGAAGCTTCCTTAATGGCTCGGGATTTTCGAAACAGCAACACTATTTCTCTCCAGCAACGATCCTCAAAAGCCGAGCCACATAACGTTTTGGAACAGTTAAAAGGCACTATTATTAACCACGAATTTCATGGGGGCAATGGCTTTTGAAAACTGACTTTCAGGCGATTGCCAAGGGAATATTTCGGTGTTGCCAAAACGGGGCATCGTGGCCAGCTCCCACATAGTGGGCGTAACGCCACATCCCACCAGTTGAAGGCATGTGAGTCGCGGACAAAGGGCAAGGAGTCGTGAAAGCATTGGCGTTGCGGCGATAGCAGAGTCCTCAGAGCCAGGCACAACGCTCTCAGCAGCAAGCGAGTTCGGCAGGACTGACATAGACGCAAGACCACTGATAGTACCTACGCCCGTGGCGGTGGTGGCATTGTTCAGTTGGCAAAAGAGAGGATTGTAACTAAGACATAGCCGAATCAAATGATTGGTAGGTGAATTGGACCTAAAAGTCAAGATTTCACAGGTAAACTCGCGTTGACGGCACTTTCTATTGCTATGAGCTGGTGAAGAATATCACAATTTAGTCGTCAATTAAATTGAGTCCATTAAAAAAGACCTAATCCTAATGACAGTGATTTTAGTACCACTAAAAATTTTTTTGGGCAGGAGTAACATTATCTGGAGGATGCGCACTTCAAACTCAACGAATAAGTTATAATATTAGGTGTGGGTGGGTCAACATTACCACTCACACAAACGAGTATTTAGGAAATGCTTACTCATTCAGTCCCGAGGAAAGGAGGGCTAGCACGCCTTCGAGGGTGAGGAAATTTTCCATAGCTGAAAACTCCATCAAATGAGGAGTTAGAACTTGTTGAAAGGCCGAGAGAAAAGTGGATTTGTCAGAGGAACACTTTGGTAAGAGATCCATCGAGGATAGCAAGTTACCTTCAATAAAAGTACCCGTTTGGATTCAAGGTCAGATGACGTACAAAAGAAGAAATAATGACGAACTACATTAGAAAACGATGTAACTGAAAATATACTATTAATTAGAAAACATTAGGTGAAATGGTCTTGGGAGCATGCTAGGATGCGAGTTTAAAGGGAAACAGAAGGTAATAGAGTAACAAGTAGAATTTGCTTGATGTATCAACGAAATGTAAGAATCTATACAGTTGAAAAACAGCAATTTCGAAAAAAGTGGCAAGTTTGAGGAATACTGTAAGCGCGAATGAGGAAGAGGGAGGACATACCATCGAGACGGAGTTTCCTAAGAGGTCGAGACTTAGGCCTCGCTTTTACGTACTCTAATAGAGCATCTGCACATCCGCGTGCTCCAAGTGCCTGGAAAGAAAGGTCCAAGCATCCCGTATCCACAGCAGCCATTACGGATTGATGCAGCGGGGAGGAAGGGAGGTGACTCGAACTCTGCAATAATCCGGTTGCAACACGAGTTGGCTCATCTGCACAACCATAATAAATAATGGATTATTCTCCTGAAAGCATCCTTGTCTTGATCAGGATTGCAGTGATAATTCGAATCAAAGATATTGAAAGGCGGAATATCTAAAATACATTGAGATCTAGAATTGAATGCTAGCACTCTAAAGAGGAGCAACAAAATGAAGTCATAACATTATGACAATCAGGAAGCATCAAATTTGATATTACATAGGAAAATCCTGAATACTAGGTACCTTAACAAAATAATTTACTTGACGACAAAATCATGTTGAGCTTGAACAACAGTTCAAATTGATAAGTCATCGAATCAAGCCACCGAAGTTAAAGTTTAGTGTTAAGAGACCAATCAAACCTCATACCTTCTAATATTACAAAACTAAGTTCAAATGACGCCAGAGACCGTGGTGAGAATTATTCATTTAACTGAGATACATTTTTAAAAATTATAAAATTGACCCAAAGCTGCCTGATAGCGAAGGTGTATCAAGTGGGAAGACAAAATGAATCTTACCTAAGGAGGAAACTCGAGGGAGCGCTTGAGGGAGTTTAGTGGGTTGGACAATATCCGCCATCAACTCTGGAATTGTGGTGTGAGGACTGGCAGCAGAGGGAAGAACCGTACAAAGAAGATCGGTTGGTAAAAGGAGAGCTCCGTCAGATGTGCGAATGCGGATATGGCCAGTGCCAGGTGCAGAGGCCTCCTGATCAAGAAGTAGCTGGTGGCGACGATATGCCTCGTCTGCGAGCCACTTTACAGTGCGAGATCTGAGCGGAAACGGTGTAGGAAAAATACCATGGTAGTGTGCTGAGAAGTAATAAGTATTCTAAAATATTATGTACTTCATCATAAAACAATGCTTTCTTCGAAGTGCTCTATGGTCAAATTTTGTGGGTTTTCGTTTTGCATGACAAAAATGCCGCTTAGACGATTTTCTTCAAGAAATCGCGATCATTACTCCATCGAAACCAGACAGACCCAAGGACCACAGGTCTTACGTCTCCTCAATGCACAACTGTGATCTTTGGGGTGTAGAATTAACGGCCGTCCATTTGTAAACCACTACTTTTATGTTAATCGTTGAGTGAAATGTCAGCATACATCGCCATTACACTGTGCGTTAAGGTATGAAAACGAAACACTGCATCGATACAGTTCAAACGAGACATCCGCGGTCATAACCTTGTCCTTAATTCTGCCATTTAAATTTATTTGGTGTCATGTAACTGTGTACCACCTCGTGTTTGGTGATTTTGCTTTAAAAATGAATAAACTATTACAAGACCTGTCCACACGAAAGAAAAAATGCTAAAGCAAGTGCAAAAGCTTTTGCAATCAATGGAGATGAGACAGCAGGGATTAATTAAAAGTTAGTCGAATAATTATGAAAAGTTCGGTATTTTTAACCAAGGCATTAGCACCTTGAAAGTTCTACTTACTGTGAGTCGATAGGTAACAGAAGAGAGATATCCGAAAACGTAACCTTCACAGTACACCAGACCACACCTGTAAGGGAGAATAAGGAATCGGAAAAGCCTAAAAGGTCACCCTCTCGAGGATGATTTTAGCATCAACAAACTGATGTTGAAGATACAAACCTGCCGTCTGGGATGGTTGAGAGAGCTCCTTTTGTAGAGAGGGTGGAGCAGGAGATGCTGGCGGTATTTGTGCTGGAGAGAGGGAAGAGACCACAGTTGGCGGTGCTTGGGAAGGCATGCATGACTCGACTTGAGTAGAAGAAAATGCCTCACTAGGATCAAATTCCATTGGCTCAAAAGGACGGGAGGCTGAAGGACACTCAAAGCCTAAAATAAAGCACAATTAAATCTAGCAACGAACAGTTAATACATTAGTAAAGGAATGGGGGATAAAGTTGTCACTAACTGGTAGATGAATTTCTGTACCGCGGTGGAGGTTCGTGGAAGGGCACAGGCGAAGAAAGATCAATTTTCTTCTTTTTTTTCTCCTTCCGTTTTGCTCCTTGCCCATCATCCTCGAGCCAGCTATCACCGGAGTCAGGGGAAGTACTCAATAGCTTCCTACTTGCAACACCACCGCTAGTCGTAGGACGTCTTTTGGCATAAATGAAAAAAAGGCAATGTATCCCAGGCTTCCTATCAGATTACCGCATGTTGAATGTATACCTTTTCAGTCAAAGTGGCTAACTCGAATGCTATGCATTGCCTAAATAGATAGCTACTAAGATGAACTGTTAACAACAGCACGTAGAAAACATGTATGAAGCTGTTAGGTCTGTCATAACATTAGGCAAAAAAAAATCTACTTGGATGGATAAAATCATGAAACAAATAAAGGGAGTAGATATATTTCAGCATCATTTTTACAGAAACGCCTACACCATATAAATATGATTGATGTCCATAGTGTACATAGGCCATTGGTCAAATTGTGTGATCTATGTTCTGGTGTTGTTGTGATCAAGGCGGGATGCAACTGAGTCAACCCCAACTTAAAATGAAACCGGAAACCCTCAGTACCATCGTGTGTGTAAACGGTTCCCGACTTCTAATCAAAAAATAGATCATGCGAATTTAACCATGCTTGTATTTGACAAGGTAAAATGACTACGCTCGGAGTCTGAACATTCACTGAGTCGTCCAACGATTGCATTTGCATAATCACAATGCTATTAAACATATTACATGCATTAGGACGACATTTTTTAAACAAAACACATAATTGGAGCTGAAAAACAAGAATGACTATTTCAACGCCACCTTAAAGGCAATGGCTACCTAACATCAGCTGTTTAGAGACAATGCATCAATAGAATGCAATTTTATCCGGACAAGGATGCCATTTGAATTTGTGTATATTTTCAAAGTCACCGTTATAATACTTCAAAGTCGACTTATTAGTGAGCAAACAAATAACTATTGAGCCGAAATGTCCTTGGTCGACTAATAGTGAGAGGATACTAAGGAAAAAGAAGACTTACCGAGCAGCAGAACTGCCAACCGCCTTCATAGCATTGCGATAGTCGATAACGGCAGGCGAATTATAATTTAACTTGTCAAATGCTCTTTTTGATGAAGAATCGGGGCGACAGTTACGTTGAAAAGACTTCGACCTGCCGCACCATGATTCCCTCTTCTTCTCACTCCTATTCTCCTTCACCTTTTCCTCTTTCTCATCAGAGTCTGAACTGATCACTTGACGGCGCGAGGAGGCTGATTTCTTCTTCATTTTAACCACTAGTGGAGATTCGACACCCATTTTTGTAGTATCAACTTCGTCCTCTCCATCATCGACGATGATGACTGATCCTGGTGTCCGAACCGAGGTCTTGGGGGCGGATTTCGGAGGTCGATAAGAGCACCATTTCTCGTAGGAATCTAAATGAAAAGAATAAATAGTCGGTAGAATTACAAACCAAAATAAACTAGAAAATGAGTCCACTGCACATAGTACATTCGCTATGAAAATTGGTGGCACGACTTACCCCCCAACTTCTCTTTCACTGCACCCAATAATTGTTGAAAAAGGATCTCCTGAGATCCCACTCCACCAAAAGCACGCTTCTTCGGCTGCCAATCGTTTAGTAGATCAAAGAGAGTTTCACCTTCGCAATTTCTAGCAAATGAGAGCATCCCATAAACACGTAGAAGTGTCCCAGATAAATCACAAGGAGTATATTAGTGATATTGCAGAAAATGCAACAAATACGATAAAATCGAGTCATTACCCTTCTAATACATACTACATATGTAGTACCTCAAGACACTCACACATGACTTCCTGGAACAATTTTTGAAAAGCCTTCAATTCATTCTCATTGTTCAATGGTAAAATAAGGTAGTAGCAAAAGAAGTGACCCACAGAGCCCAGACTAGGCGGATAAGTTAACTACATATCAAGTTGGTAAATGCAGTCCCACAGGCTCAAAAGAAGAGATTTTAAATTTTAAAACAAAGAAAACTCAAGAGAGTAAAAATGGTACCAATTCTTTTGAAGAAAGAGATGACTACCACTTAAAATTGCCTAAAAGGCCTAGAAGAAATCCATTTAAAGAGCGGAATAACTGGTCTGTTTTGTTAACGAGGAAATCTAAAGTCACCACATAGCTTTGAGATCTACGCACAACTTCCCGTACGAAGTTAAATCTTTCAGAGAAAGCATATTATTAATCAGAAGATAAATTCTAGAATGCTACATTTCAACATATTAGAAGCTACATTTGTAGACAATGGAAAGGTATTCAAATATTCCAAAAAAGATCCTTTGAAGTCAATTGCATAATAATGGAACCTGATGAAAGAAAACTAAGCTACTTTGTGAAATAGAAAAATACAGGAAAAGTTGAAAAAAAACCAGAGCATAAGCATACACATGCCACAAGTTGGCACCACGGTTAACAAGAGTGATGGCCGTCTTAAGAGCATCTCCATGAATCGCCTCAAAAAGGGGCGTTGATAGATCCTCCTGACAGCCCGTATCGTCCAGACGGGCTCCCTTATCCAAAAGATAGATGGCAATATCGGCATGGTCATGAAAGGCGGCTTCGTGAATGGGGAGCCATCCCGCGCTGTCACGTACATTGATTGGGTGCGCCTAAGAGGGGATTTACAAATTCTAGATTGGAACTCGGGCTGATTTTGGCACCGATAGATAAAAGGACTTGGTGTTGAATACAAGCTTCACTATTTGTAAGGTAATTTATTCCGTGTTGCCATACAGACGATGCTAGACCCATCCACCCCGTCACATACTTATGTATGAAAGATCGTAAAACACTTACCATGACCTCAACTAATTTGACTACGTGTTCAAGGTTTCCATTAATCGCTGCAACATGCAATGGAGATTCACCCTTAAGGTTGGTCTACATAAAGCAAGGGTTGGGAGAGTAAATGATTATACTTTCAGGCAGAGAGCCTTGCTACGCCGCTTTCTCGGCGATTCAATCAAGTCCGCAGCACTATCAGCAACATTTACGCACTTTTCAACGTCTAAAAGGAAAAAAACAGTAATTTATTTCACTTAAATAGGTTGATGCAATAGAAGAAACATGAGTTGATCAAAAGATTGTAAATGGTATGGAGCAGAGCAAAAGCCGAGTACATGGTGTGGGAATCTACCAGAGTCGGAAGAGAGGACTTCGACGGCTTCGTCAAGTGACTCATTTTGAGTATCCATATCCATATCGGGGTCAGACTCGCTCTCTTTAATCCGGTCGCGGAAACGATTTGAACAAGATGTGGATGGTCGACAGATTTGGCTCCCACCGTCGCTAGCCAAAGCACTAAGTTCATCAAAGTAGACCTTAGCTTGAGCTTCTCGTCCACAACTCTTGTGGTACTCAACCAGCTCATCCAAACAGTCGCGCTAAAACAATCAAGCTAGAGGCGATAGCTAACAAACCATCACATTAATGCTTCCACAAGCTTTTGCTTTGGATAAAGCACTTTTAAGAGCCTTCTCAGGGGTTTCTGAACCAGGTAAATTGGCGCAATCGGGGAGAGAAAACTCAGGAGGCGTATTTTTCGGCGCTTGGATGAGAGCCCTAGAGACGGACAGCCAACTTTGGGCGAGCTCTTCATCACTGGGGCTAAGAGTTTTTGGTAGCGAATAGTCGGTCAGACTAAGGGTGAAGAGTATCTCCTGACGATAGAAGTGAGCACAGAAGGCGTAGGCGCTCAAGCTAGCGCAAGCTTCAGCCGTCGACACAAGGCCGGAATCCACCTGCCTAGCTAGTGCTGCTAGTCGTTGCGTATAATCACTACCACATGCGTCCTGTCGTTGACTAGAGAAGGCTACCTCAGCCCACAGCGTCTAGATAATAAAGCTGTAGTAGTCGAAGGAATACAAACCATTTGCTGGTAGCACCGGTAGGCGGGTCCATGAAGATCCATCGTGGAAAGGACGTCACCAAGTTTTTCGTAGTACTTTGAGATTTGGAGCATTTCTTCAGTTGTGTCACATGGGCTCACCTGAGCTCTGGTGGTAATAGTTTCCAATTTAAGGCCTCAAAATAACGCTATGATAAAAAATAGACATGCACTCACATTTTCCACAGAGGTGCTTAAAATTTAGACCCGATTCAGGATCCGCACGTGAGAGTTGCCGGTAAACCTTAGCTGCAGTCCTATACTCCCCCTTTCCAGCATATAGCTGTGCCAAAAGTTCCTCCAGATTTCGTCGAAGGATCTTGGCTTCTTTGTCCGCACAGCATTGTACATTATAAAACTTCAAAGTTTGACTAAAGTAAAGGAGGAAAGTGGAGACGTACCTGCATAGCTTAACCGCCTGTAATAAATTCTCCGCTTCCACATGATTCAGCAGGTCAGACGGGCGACATCGACTCTGAGTTATTGATGGCCATTGGAAAAGAGCTAGTTCACTTTGTTGAAATGCAGCACGAAACATAATTTTCGTTAAAGAGTATTTGCGAGAAATACTAATACACTGATCGAACTTTGAGTGAGCTGACTCGAAATCGCCACATGAACGAAGAACATGACCTTTGAGAAAGAAAAGGCAATTAGAAATGCCAATTCAGAGACAACACGACTTGGTAAGAAAAAAAGCAGCTGCACCAGTGGAGGCAAAGTATCGCCAAAGTAACAAAAAGATAGCGTCCAAGTACAAAAAAGAGAACAAATACTTGACATCTCACCGAAGTTAAGAAGCGAAACAGCCTTCATCTCCGCACTTTGGGAAGCCGTTAAGTCGGTAAGTTGTGCGACAATTTTCAAGCTATTTGATATAGCTTGTTTGGCGGCAAGCAAACTTCTCCGTGCTACCTCACCATTAAAAGCCTTATCCGCACGGCATTGGAAACATCTACCAATGGTAACGTAGGCTCTCTGCTGCTCCAATGGATTATTCGCCTCCTTCGAAAATTTCAGGAACAGACCTGAATGTCGGATAGCCTCATTATGATCCCCCAATTCCAAATAACACTCAGCAATGAATCTATGAGTCACAGCCAACTGGATTTTTTCGCCAGATGCACTACCTTCATAAAGTGTGAGGAGAGACTTGTATTCATCAATTGCCGCTCTGTAACTGTTTTGGTCAAAATAGAAGATTGCCAGGGAAAGCGTAGCGTTAATACGCTCACGCAGAGTTTTCGCAGATTGTTGCTGACGAATTAATCCTACATAGCAAAAAGCGTAAATTACAAAGACTCACTTTGAAGCCTCATTCATATGGGGAACGCGGGACAACAGGTTAGAATGGAGAAACCAATGAATCCAAACAAGATGCACAGTGCGGTGAAAGAATTAAGGTTGGTACGTGAGGGGCGCATCAGAGCGGCAAGAAAATTCTTTTCGAGCAGGATTTTTTATTAAATGTATTTAATTGCGGTATATGGCAAAAATTATATGGCAGCATAAAGAGACTCCTTGTTGTTGGGACCCACTTCCTAATTAGGTGCTCATTCTGCACCTTTCCCTAGGAAACAGAATGCGATGAACGCATAAAAAATAAATAAAACGAATGACTGAGGATTTTTTGCAACAATTCCATGTGATTATAAATGGCATCATAGTGTTGAATCTGGGCTTAACTTCATTATTTCTTGGCAAAAAAATCACTACTTGAAGCACTGCAAATTGATATTTAACCATGTGTAGCGTCCCGTGACTCCCTGAGGACGAAAGAAGACAAAATACTCGGGCAGAATATATATATTCAGCACGGAGAAGGTGTCTGGGCTATTGGCATGGCCCAAAAGGCCAGCCCACCCAGCGAGGTACAAGGGGGCTAATTCGAAGTACAAAAGTGGCGCCTCACCAGAACCGAGGAATAAACCACTATCGTATTACATAGCCTCCCTCCTCTTTTGAGCGTCGTCCTCGGCGCTCCCACAGGTCAACCTCCCGCGTCAGCCATTACAACGTAGTCGGTGCAGCAAAGAAACACCCACGAGCCAACCGTGCCAGTCACCAAATTAGTGCGCAACTGAGGGGATGCTTGACCTTAACG